ATCAGATTCGTTTACTGAAATCCAATCATCATTTTGATGGTTGCACCTCGTGTCCTGCCTTCGTGAACCGTTCGTATTATTGTCTGGACTGTGAAAGGGGGTTCAACACCAATGATGGCACTAATCGTAGCTGTCAAGGGAATCGTTGTTGCGCGTGCGGCCGATTTGACTGTCGGGATTATTTGCGTGGTACCCGGCCCACGGATTATTGCTCATTGTGTCACTGCAAGTGCCTATTGTAAACGCCATCATGTTACGACCAGCCAATGTCAAATGGTGAAAACCTGCCTCAAGTGCCAAGCCAAGTACACTGTCGTTCCAAACCAACGCCACAAGTGTGGGTACGTCAAATGTCCCGTGTGTCACGAATGGGTTTCCATCAATGACCATCAACGTTACATTCAACCCGTTGTAGAGGAAGAGGTGGAGGGGGAACCGGAAACCGAAGAGTCAGACGGGGAAGGTCGCATGGTAACGCCACCACTTCCATTGTTCGTCTATGCGGATTTCGAAGCCATGCAAAATGCCGCAGGTGTTTTCGTCGACAATTTGTTGTGCTATTCGTCGGCGGAAGAAGAGACCATTTATGTATTGGACGGTGAGGATTGTGCCCTGTAATTTCTACACGATTTGAATGATCTGCCGGACAGTGATCAAGAACGGGAGATTATTGTGGTGTTTCACACCTTCGGTTCGATGGCATGTTTATTCTTCACGAACTCTACCAGCAACAACGGGAGGTGGTGGACCCTCTGAAAGTGGGGGCCAAATTGTTGTCTTTCAAGAGTGGACCCCTTAAATTCATTGACCCGCTTTGTTTTTTACCCATGCCGCTGGCATCTTTTCCAAGCACATTCAACTTGACGGAATTGAAGAGGGCCTTCTTTCCTCATCTGTTCAACACCCCCCATAACAGACAGTACGTGGGTCGGATCCCCGATCGAAGTGGAATTTTACGATCCCGACGGGATAATGGCCAAAAAGAAACAGGAACTACTCAAGTGGCATGCTGACCAAGTCCGTCGTAATGTGTCCGGCAAGAAATGATCGACTACTGCAAATCGGATGTGGCCCTGTTGAAAGCTGGTTGCGAAGCTTTTCAGCAGGAATTACAAACCCAGGCTGGCCTCACCACAATCGCCAGCGCCTGCAATTTGTATTGGCGAAAACATCACCTACCACCCGATACGATCGCCGTCGAACCGGTCCGTGGCTGGCGGGGGGCCAATGTCAACTAATCCCTCAAGGCCCTGCAATGGCTCTACTACCTGGAACAACAAATTCCCAAGCAAGGAGCCAGTGCGGACAGGATCCGACACGTCCGCAATGGTGATGAACAATCCGTCCGGGCTGTTGTCTCGTCTTATTCCTCCATGGGTACGATGCCCTCACACGCACTGTTTACGAGTTCCACGGGTGTATTTATCATGGATGTCCCACCTGTTTTCCCTTGAGAGATGCCAAACATTACGCCACTCTTGATCGAACCGTAGAGGAACTGTGTCAAGCCACTCTGAACAAACGCATGGCCCTGCTCAGAGCCAGTTAAACTGTCATAGAAATGTGGGAGTGCCAGTCGGATCGTCTGGTAGACAACGAGCCTGCTGCTTCCCAGTTTCTTCGCTCGTTCGATCTCGTACCACCTCTGGAACCCCGCGAGGTCTTTTTAGGCGGACGAACAGGCCCGGTGGCTCTGCATGCCGTGGCCGGGGAGGGCGAGGAAATACGCTACGTGGATGTCACCTCCCTTTACCTGTGGGTGAACATGAACTACCCTTACCCCATCGGTCATCCTCAGATCGTCATTCAACCCGTTGACCAATCCCTAGGGTCGTATTTTGGCATCGCCACCGTGGGCATTCTTCCACCCGCTGGTTTGTTTCAACTTTTCTTGCCTGTGCGCAGCGGTAACAAACTCACCTTTCCTCTGTGTCGTAGCTGTGTCCAGGAAGAGCAGGCCAAACCCATGCTGCATCGCAATCATTACTGCCATCACTAGGACGTCGATCGGATGCTACGCGGTACTTGGTGCACCCCTGAGCTGGTCAAAGCGGTAGAAACACCCTCGTTACGATCCATGAGGTCTGGCATTTTCCCGAACATCAACGTCGGACGGGTCTCGGTGCCGATTGCGTCAACACGTGGTTGAAATTAAAACATGAATCGGCTGGGTGGTCTAGTTGGTGTCAAACAGTGGAACAAAAACGAGAGGACATTTTTCGCCACCAGGAGCGGGAGGGGATCCGACTGGACATCAGCCATATTACCAAAAATCCCGGGCGCAAGGCCACCGCCAAGTTAATGCTCAAAAGGTACCTGTTCCAATTTTTTTCTTGTTCATGTTGTCATCCCACCCCTTCTCATGGTTTCTTTTTTGCAGTTTCTGGGGTAAATTTGGTGAACGGATCAACAAGCCCACTACCGCCACGGTCAAAGATCCCTCCCATTTGTTCAGTTTCCTATCCGATGCCGCCATCTTGGAGGCTCTCTACACCAGTGTACATGACAATGTGGTCAAAGGCACCAAGACCAATATATTCGTGGCAACCTTCACCTCATGTCACGCCAGGTTGAAACTCTACCAGTCTCTAGACATTCTCCAGGAGCAAGTGCTTTATTACGATACGGACAGTGTCGTCTACAAATGGCGTCCAGATCAACCCTCCATCGCCACAGCCGATTTTCTGGGGGACATGACGGACGAATTAGATGGTGCCGTCATCACCGAATTTGTTTCTGGGGGGGGCTAAGAACATCGGGTACACGACACGGCAGGGTAAAGTGGTCTGCAAGGTCCGCGGATTCACCCTGAATGTTTGCGGTGCGGCTGTCCTGCATTTTCATACCATGAAAGACAATATCTTGGCTGAATTGGAGAACCCATGTGGTGACGCCCTATTATTTTCAAAGAGATTTGGAACAAAAACGTATCAAAGTGGTTCCGCGCATAAAACAAGATGGTCTAGTCTTTGACAAACGTGTCATTAACACGGACACCAAATCTAGTTACCCTTACGGCTATGAGAAAATTGGGGAGGAAGTGGAACTCTTGCTGGATTTGTGAATGAAATGGAGGGCGTGACAAAAAAAGGTGATTTTATTTCCAATACAGTATGTTTTTCATTGACTTCCGGTGATGTGAGAGGTCTGGGGATTGTTTTGAGTGTTTGCGCATGCGCAGTAGGTCTATGCGAAATGCCTTCATATAAATGCAGGGGACCTGGGGAGTATTTTGGCGGTCTGTGCATTTCGGAGAACTGCGCATGCGTACCAACTCCATGCACGTATGCCTTCATATGAATGGGATGGCCTGGAGAGCAGTTGGTGGTTTGCTGCTTTCTGATTGGTCGAAATGGGTCACGTGAACAAATCGATGACGTGTCTAATGCTAATGAGGCACGTGACCCAAAAAACAATAGCCCCGTTGTCTTTTCTCCGCTCTGATTGGTTACCACCCATTTGAGCCATGTATACTACTAGGCTAGACACCTTCACTTGGCATGAAATATTGAAAATCTTTAGCTCATATTGCTTTAATGAGATCTCTTTAAGAGATTTTACGCTTTTAAAATTACACTATAGATGGGTTATTTGTTAGTTGCTTTAGCTTCTTTGCAGGGTACTGAAAGGGACTCGCGGTAGAGTTTATATTGTAGCGGAGGGAAAATATACATAATTTTAACAGCAACAGACAATTTCAGTTCGGTGTACTTCTGTCAATTCATAATCCGTTTTATCAGCAGGAGAGAGAAGCAATTTATTTAGATACGTTGTTTTGGACATCCTCGTTTCAAAAGACTTTTGGACGAATAACACTCTGAGTTCAAGGTAAGCAAAAAAGCTTGCAAAATATCTTGTTGTCTCGATGCCGAGGGTTGAAGCAGACGTTAGCAGTGGTTTGCCACTTTTTTGAACGTCAAAGACCTGCCTATGAAAACGGGAACTCGACGATTTTCTGGTGTTTCATCTTTTCGCTGCGGCTGCGCTTTCAGGGATTCGTTCGCCCGTGGAAAATTTTTCTTCACGCGCTGTTGCTGTTTCTTTAAATTCGACGCCCATTTCCTCTCCGCGTCGATTGGCCAAAACTGGCAGCTCTGTCGATAGGGAGCCACAAGGGGCATTGGAGGCGGAATTCAAATCCCCTAGACGTGACTGCAAGCTTCTCTTCTTTTCGCCCCTTAGTTGTTCAATTTTTTTTCGTTTTATGGCTTCTTTGGGAGATTTGGATTTTGCCAATAAATTCAATAACATGCCGTCATTAGGACGTCTAATTACGTCATTGTGTCAATCAAATTATGTCTAGATGTTAGAAATGACAAGAACATTATTCTGTGTAAGTTTGGTGGTCGTATCAGGAGCGAGTCTAGAGTTACAGGGGGTGGTCTCCGATGCCCCTCCCCCTCCGTAGGAGGCAAAAAAGCCCGGCTACATAGGGTTAAAGGGATTGAATTAATTGCAAAAATCGTGGAGAAAGATCCTGCTAGTTGTAAACGTTGGATCTCTAGAAAAGAAATCTAATCAGCCAAAATATATATCAAGAACCGAAAACGAGAAGTCCAAAGACTACTGCAAAGCTGATTCAGAACAATGTGTTTTTTAGTGGAGTTAATTACGGGGTTCCTTGCTACAAGAATTTTTTTTTATTTTTAATTATTGTTGTGATTTGGCTAAAGTACATGACTGTTGTGAACTACGGAATTTTGAGATATCAATAGACATTGATCAATGTAATTAATATCAAAAGCAGTATACTGAAAAGATCTAAATCTTTAAGTTAAAGGGCTGCATATAACTTAATATAACTCTATAACTTGCAATAGTCTAATAAGTTTAAACTTGCATTGTGCAGCAAAGGTGAAGAATCAGTTGCTCTAAAGATAATCGATAACAATCCAGTCTTAACAGGAGTACTGATCGGTAGCCTTTCAACTTTCATATTTAGTTTTAAGTCGATCGAGTTCCTCTTTTGTCTTTTTGTGACTCTTTCGCTCCTTTTCTAATTCCATTTTTAGTTTTTGATTCTCCTCTCTTTCGTCTGCCGACTGTCCTTTTTCTTGGTTCAGTTGTGTCTTCATTTCTTCCATTTCTGTGTATTAAACCATAAAATGCAAACGTTGATAAAAATCCTCTTAAAACTTATGACAATGGCGGTTAGGATCAAAATGGGCGTAAGGATTGATGGGATAAAACAATGTCATCTGCACTGTGAATAAAAAAGACCCTTAGTTTAGCCCCCAAAATGAGTTTAATCTTTACTGTCTGTTAGGTCTAATTTGGCTATTGCCAGCAAGATGGAGACTTTTCTACATTTTGCAAGCAAGATATTGAATTCTCAAAATCTTAGAAAAGTGTAATTCAGCACTTGCTTTACGAATCACACTTGGTACAAATGCGGCTGTAAGACGATTCTTTGCTTACGTTCACTCTTTTCTTCACGTCTCTTGTTTTAGACGTTATCAAGCAGCACCACCTTTTTGACCATGTTCACTTTCTTAAATCAGTGGCAATATGACAATTTACATGCGTTTCAAGCTACAGTGGAACCTCGATTAAGCGAATCTCTATATAACCGGTATAATGAAATCCTCGGTATAACAAACGACTTTCTTCAGCCCGCCCAAAACTACAACAAAATGTATCGAACAGAGCCTCGATTTAACCAAATCCGCGTTATAACGAACCCAATCCACAAGCGCAAACGTAAAATGTACCTCGATATCACGAATAAGTGTCAGCTGTGATAAAGATGAATGGCAAACAGACCAACAATTGTAAAATTTGTGTACAAGAGTTTTAAGCAGTTTCGTCTGCCTGTTCTTGAGTTTCTAGTGCCGTAGCTATGAAAAGCTAAGTACTGAAATGTTATTGCAGTAATTTTTCAGATCCGAAAATGCTGGGTTTTGTTAATTAATTATTAACTATACCTCGATATAATGAACACTTTGGTACTTCTCCCGGAAATTCGTTAAATGGAGCTGTTCGATATAACGAACAAATTTGCCCGGTCCCTTTGGCACTTCGTTAAATCGAGGTTCCACTATATTTCATGAACCCGAACCACCTAGTATGCTCACATATCGCGTTCCTCGCCCAGTTCCAGGTCCGTGGTTCCTTTAGTGACAAAGGGGCCTCGATTCTTTCATCTTCTTTGCCAGAACCTCTATGAACCTTTTACTATGCTCCCTGTGCCCAATCTAGCTTTAAGTGGCAAGTAGTCCCCGACCAAAAAGGACAGAATGGCGGACAGTTCACCCAGAAGACGTTAAGGAGATAATATTTAGGCAACTTCCTTAAATTCACAGTTCGCGCTGAACACAGCCTAATCCTCTCTCTTTCTCTGATGTCGAACTCATCATTCGGATGCGGAGAAATATATACGAAAGTGACCGCAGCAGATAAGAAGGCTTGAGCTATACTAGTTCAAATATGGTCATGTTTATCCGGGTGTTCGCATTTTCTTGTCACAGATGTTGGGTTTTTTTCAAATTAACGTTGCCCGACTTTATCTGATCGTTCACATTTTATACTTTAACCAAGGTTTGAAAAATATAAGAAAGACGACACATGGATTTTACATTCAATTCCGAGGACCGAAAAGACTATGAAAAATTCACTGGTAGTTTAGAAGTCGGGATTTGTTGGCTGCGTTTGTACGACCCCTCAGCTTTCCTTACCAGCTTAAATTTAAAATCATGTACCTTAAAAAAAGAGAATTTCAAAAGTCTGTTTTTAAAATAATTATTAATATTTTTAACCAAACTTTAAAAAATAATTATGCAGACAATTTTTGTGCAGCTACCAAATTTCAGATACAGATACGGAAGCTCGTAAATGTCGAAGCTACGAGCTCTGGCTCAAAACCTAATTTAGAAAGAGAACCGTTTTCGGACCAAGTAACATTAAGATTGAACTAAAAAACACCTTTATCTCTTTGAATGTATTTCTCAGGATACTGGAGTAACAACAGACTACAGTCAACTCTCGCCTAACGGACACCCCACAAATACGCAGAGCAGCAAAAACAAATTAGAGACGTTTGACTGAAATTAACTCTCGCTATTAAGGACGCTCGTTAATTAGGACACTAACTCAAGGTTTCTTCAGTGTCCACTATAAAGGCAGTTGACTGCACAATGCATACACTCAGCAATAATATTAGTCATCTGCATCGCGCAGCCCAATGTACGCGTATGACAGGCATCTTGTTCAACTTGTAATCTCGTTATCTCAACGTGTACTTGTCAAAGCCAATTTCCACAATGTTCGTCAATTTTTTAAGTATATTACACTTCAATTCAGTTGTTAGCCATTTTATATTGTAAGGGGTATTCGTGCATTCTTTTTATGTAACGCGCTGTAATTTTAATAAATCGAATAAGAGCCATGTGACAGGAAATAATTATATCAAATCGCTCACCTAAATGAACAACTAAATGTGGCTGTACTTTTTGCAAAGCTTTCTTAAATATGTCAAACGCCTTCTGTCCTTTCCTGGGTAGAATCTCCAAGAGCTTATCAACTCCAGAGACTCGTTTTTCATTTGAGCTCGCTTTAATTTCTTCCTCGTCTGTGTGGTCCAACACATCTACCAAATAAGGTAATAGCTTTATAGGTTCAAGGTCCTTTCTTAGTGTGAGGCGGGTACGACGCAAAATGTTCCGGTGTTTGTCATCCATACTAATCTGATCGGTTCGACTAGCAATTGTTCCTGAAAATAAATCAATTATTTATTTCAAATTTCGTCACAACCCGTTAACCCTTGCTCATTTCTCTTAAGTTATCGACCTTTTATAAGAACCGTGCAATTTCCACCAACTTTTGCGTGTGAGGTTACAAAATTTTTTTTTTCGGGAAAAATTAACCAATGACGCCCGATTGTCCTAAGAGCTTCTGCTAGGATGTTTGTCCAGCCGTAGAAAGACTCTAAATACGTTCAAAAATAAGTACCAGTGCACTTTCGCTGCGAAAGTGATCTAGCTTAAATACGTGAGAGACAAAACCCGGAAAGAATTTACATGAAATAGAATCGTTGGTGTTTCTTACCTTGAAAGCCAGTTTCTTCTCCAAATTCTGATGCAGAAGTGCTCTTCACATGACTAGTGCTTGGACTATTCAAATTTATGTCCTGCGTCTTTTTCAACAGCTCTTTTCTTTCTGCCGGGGAAAATTACATACGGATTCTATCATTTATTAGGCTTTTTTTTCACACTATACCGGATAGCTCTTACTCCGACACACGAAAACCATCCTGGATACGGCTTCTTTTCACACGTTAAAACTGTGATTTCGTCGCCATTTCATTAACAGAGCAAAGCTGTGCCGGACCGATATTGAAAGGAGATCGTCGCATATCAAATAGGTTTCTGTCACTCTTCGTCGCAATGTGAACAGGTAATAGACCTTAGTGGAAGAAAAATTATTAATAAGCATTATATAACAAAAAATGGAACCCACTAAGACGGAAGTAAGCGCTCTGGCGGTACGATGTTTGATGTGTGTGCACGACCTGTTTTAGTTCTGTGCCGTTGCGGTTTGTTCTATAATTAACGGAAAGGTTTTTATGTCGGATCAAAAAGCTATCTGGTATAGTAGTGGCATTGGAACTCAGTCATCCTCATGTGTTTTTGACCAGTTTGAGTTTGTCCAGCAGTAATTACCCTCCCGTTCTTAGGCACGTCTGCAGTTTCCCCTTCAATACACAAGCGATGCAAATTTTGAACTGTATTTGACAGTTTTTCTACTGAGACGAAAGAAATTACAACCCAAAAGCGAACCCTAGCCTTCTGTTGGCTCGGCTAATCTCTCTTTGACAATTCTCAAACCGATTTGAGTCCTTGTACACTTATAAAAACGTGTCTTCAGTTTCTTAATTGATACACCTATCACAGGTCACCCTATCTCTCAATGCGTTTCTAATTTGAGAGATTCGTCATATTTAATAGACTTATTACCTTCGTCTAAAAGTATGTCAGCTAAAGAAGATTTATTTCTCTGCAGTGCTTCAATAAGCCTTTTGAAAGCATCCGGGCCTTTTCTCATCAGTATAAGTAGTAAAGCGTCATTCTGTTCATCACTTGTGTCCTTTGAACGTATGACTTCCATATCCTCTTTACTGACGATGCCCTTTTCAAACAAATACCTCACCACTGGGTTTGGTTCCATATCTTCTACGAGTCTCCCAAAGTGCTTTCGGATAATTTCTTTCTGGTATCTTTGCATAGTTGCATCCGTTTTCTCTAAAAAAAGAACACAATACAGTATTGTTATTCAGTACAACCACTTCAAGTTCAAGGGATTTAAGGCCTAAAGGGCAAAGGTGTATTCGGAGTATATGATTGATTGGTAATATATCACGCTAGGATATCTAGAACAAGGTGAAATTTTCCCCAAAACTAAATCTTGAGGTCTTCTTGCGCCTTAACGTTCAATTATGGTGACGTGACAGGTCAAGTGACCTCACTTATCAGTCTGGTGAATACAGTCATTAGGTAACTTCTTCGACAAACCAAAGCTATAAAGTTGCGTGAAACTAAGCGTCAACTGACTTCGCCTAAAGGTATGCTTGGCATAATTTACAGCATTTTAGGGACTGGCAAAAACGTAAAAGTATGGGGGGGTTGGGCCGGAACATTTGGAAATGTGGTTGATAAAGAACACATGGCCCACCCCCTCCCTCCGGCACAAAAATGACTGAGCTACACCTAAAGCAAGGTTGGAAATTACATGACCCACCCCCTAGTATTAAAACGTGGATTTTTGGTTTCCTCTTAATAATCTAATAATACCTTGTTCTGTGCATGACAAAATCACAAAACCCTAGCCTGTTGCCTCGCTTCATAAGGAATTCAATAATATTAACAACTGTGTTTGGCGAGTACGTTTAATGGTACATCACTGTTACTGCTGTTTCAAAGTTTCTGATATTTTGAATACGTTTGTTAAGATCACCCTAATATTTTTGCTTATTACTGATACCTATTTTTATGAGAAGAAATAGGACCTCTAGTTTCTTTGTTTGCTTCCTTTATAGAATATAATTATGTAACAACATAGGTAACCACACTAAGGTACCAGAATTTTAAACACCAATGAAATGTAAAAAACAAGAATCGTACATTTTGTTAAAATTGCATTTTAAAAAGGACACAACAGGTTTGGGAGTATTTTTATCATTCCAACTTGCTGTGTTTATATGACAAGCGTGCTCCGCTGTTCCATTAGTATCAAGACTAAAATACCTGCCTATCTATGTTATAAATTAGGATGATTCACCCCCTAAGGGTGGCTGAAAATTGCACGACTCACCCCTTGCACAAGGCTCAAAACCTCATGACGTTTGACGGTTGACGTTTCTCCTCGCTCATCTCCACCGGATCCACTTTTAAGGGCAATTACGCCATTTATGTCTGCATTAGACATCAGACAAACTTGTTTGCTGCATTTACATGGCTTGTTGCACCTTGGTAAATCTGAGTCCCTTTGTATCGACTTCGTCAAAGGTAATAGAGTACTAGTGATGACGTCATAAAAATAAAATTTCTGAAATTATGGGATTTGTCAGGATATTCTGAAAGAACAATGTCCAAGAGGCCTACTTACCAAAAATGATCATTTCAGGGCTAATTGTCTCTGATATGTTAGCCGGTTATACTCAGAAAACGCCAAACAAACCTTTCTAATTTTTTTTGGGTCGACCCAAAAAAATTTAGAAGGGTTTGTATGGAGTTTTCTAAGCATAACTGGACTACGATCTCAGAGACAATTTGCCCCGAAATGCTCATTTTTGGCAAATAGGCCTCTTGGACATTGTTCTTTCAGAATAGCTTGACAAATCCCATAATTTCAGAAATTTCATTTTATATGACGTCACACTTCAGTATATATACTCTATTTATTCAAGGGAGAAGATCAAGAAGTTTTCTATCACCTCACATTTCAACGAGCGGTACGTATAGATGCTGTTTTCACGCTGTTATGAAGCAAGAGTGTAGCGTGATTGTGAGATGGCGTGATTTTATTATTCCTTTGATTTTGTTATTAATAGTTTCACTCGTCTGTCAGAGCGACAGAGAACTTGATGACAGATCGCATTAAAAACTAAAGCTTATAGATTCAAGAAAGCCACGATTTTGTGTAGTGTGTGAGCGAGCCATTGTACTGTGAGGATCGAAGCTGAGAAATAAACCCTGTTTTGCTTTAAAACTGTGATATCGTGAATAACGGCCCTTCGGCATTCACGACAAAGTGGCACCTCCGACGGGACACTGAGAAAAATAGAATATAGAAGATGGAGGCCAAGCTTAGCGCAAAGCTACAGTTGCTTGACCTAACCAGAGGAGAAACTAAGGATGTTGCTGTTAGCGATAACTTGGAAAAGATTCGTCGACACAAAGAAGCCTTGCAGACTATAGTAGCTGGTGTTGAGGAGTTAAAGAGGGATATAGAGCAAGAAAAACTGGAAAAGGGAGAAACTGTGGACGAAGTAAAAGAGTGGGGAGAGGAAACCGAAGGTAAGATTGACATTGTGGACAATGACATTAAATTCTTAGAGGCTCGTCTCAAAGAAATAATCACAGGTTCTGAAAACGAAAAACGGGAAACCAAGGAATATCATTTAGCTCGAGAACGTGAGGAGCAGCTAAAGTTTGAGCGGCATCAGCTGGAACAAAAGGCAGAATTTTCCAAAGCCCAAAACTCAACGAGAAATTTGCCGCATAAACATAGCGTGAAATTACCAAAGCTCGTGATTACCAAATACAATGGGGCTCTTGAAAATTGGTTGTCGTTTTGGAACAAATTTGAAGCAGAAATTGATAGCACCGATTTACCAGCAGTCACGAAATTTGCCTATCTCAAGGAGCTAGTAGAGCCACGCGTTCGTAAAGGAATAGATGGCCTTCCCTTCACTACAGAAGGATGTGAACGCGCAAATAGTATTTTGAAGAGTAATTATCGGAAGATGAGCGAGATCGTGAACGCATATATTGAAAACATTCTTGCGCTTCCATTCATTTCCGGAACTCAACCGGCCAAAGTACACGACTTCTATGAAGCTTTGCTCTACAATGTTCAGTCGCTCAAAACATTAGGAAAAACCTCCGAATGCGTGGCATTGGTGCGTGGTATTTTGAATAAATTGCCTGGAATTAAAGCTGAATTAGTACAGGGTCACCCAGAATGGCAGTCGTGGAATTTCACGCACTTGCTTAACGCGCTTCGTGAATGGAAGGAAATCCATCCCCGAGAAAATGTGAAGTCACGCGATACCTTAAGAAAATTTCATGTGGAGGAACGCAACGGAAATGCGACACGTGGTTGTGTTTACTGCCGTGAAGTATCGCACAAAGCTAAAGATTGTACCGCCATTACTAGCGTTGAAGATCGTAGGAAATATCTGCAGGAGAAAAGGCTGTGCTTCAATTGTACTGGGCCGCAAAGAGCAACCAATTGTCGGAGCAGAGGAAACTGCTCGAATTGCAAGCAGAGGCACCACACCTCAATCTGCGACCAAAATAGCCAACTATCAAGTGAGGGGACAGCAATGACAGCCGCACACGTGGAGGAGAAAGTTTGCCATCCAGTCGTCGTTGTTAAAGTTAACAGAGTCAAATGCCGCGCATTGCTCGATACTGGCGCTACCGGAACCTACATTTCAGCTTTGTTGGTGGATCTTTTGAAAGCTAAACCTGCTCGGAACCTTACGCGCGGTATCAAGACGATCATGGGCCTGGTTACCAAGCACATTGAGACTTATGATGTTAACATCAGTGACACTCAAGGAAGGTTTACGCTGCCAGTCTGCGCTACGAAGATTGAACAACGAGAACTTTTATCGCTAGAGAACCCTAACTATCCAGAAATGGTGAAACGTTATTCACATCTTAAGGGAGTGCAAATGTAAGAAACTGACACTAAAAAAATTCTCCCCATCCATGTTATACTTGGCGCTAATGAGTACACCAAAATCAAGATGGCTGGTTATCAACGTGTAGGAGAAATTGGAGAGCCCATTGCTGAAGAAACCAGGTTCGGCCGGACAATAATGTCTTCTGGTGCAGGGGTGGATATTGAAAACATGTTCCTCACACAGACATCAGCCGCTGACTATGAAGAATTGTGCCGCTTGGATGTCCTTGGGTTGGAAGACACGCCCATTGGTGACCAGAGAGTCGTGCACCAGGAGTTCCTTGAACAACTAAAACGCAGTCCAGAGGGGTGGTACGAAACAGCTCTCCCATGGAAAGAAAACCATCCCCCCTTGCCAGACAATAAGTTGGGTAGCCTCAAACGCCTTGCAACCCTTTTACATCGACTTAAACGAACGGCAAGTTAGAAGAGCATGGTGCCATAATCCGTGAGCAGCTTGAAGAGGGGGTTGTAGAGGAAGCAGAAATTCCCGCTAAAGGAAAAGAATTTTACATTCCCCATAAGGCTGTAATTAGAGAGAATGCAGCAACCACGAAGATGCGTATTGTTTACGATGCCTCTGCTAGAGCCAAGGATACAGCTCCTTCCCTTAACGAGTGTCTAGAGACAGGACCGCCCTTACAAAACCAGATTTGGAGAGTGCTGGTCCGCGGAAGATTTCATGCAGTAGCAATAGCAGGAGACATTAGAAAGGCGTTCCTTCAAGTGCGCATCCGTGAAGAAGACAGAGACGCCTTGAGATTTCATTGGATTGACAGAGAGAATCCCGGGAAAGTACGTACGCTGCGTTTTACGCGTGCCTTGTTTGGTCTGGGCCCATCACCCTTTCTTCTTGGGGGCGTCATTCAGCATCACCTCGAAATTTGTAAGCCGGATTATCCTGAGACAGTACCAGAGATTGAGAGGGGATTGTACGTGGATGACTTACTGACAGGCGGTCCTACAGTTGAAAAGGCTTAAGAAGACTGCAACAGAAATATTTGCAAAGGCCACCTTCACTTTACACAAATGGAGCTCAAACGCTAGAGAGCTAGAATTAACCGAAGCAACTGACAGTGAAGTTGAGCTTACTTGCGCTAAAGAACAGCCAGGAGAGAAACCAGGCGCGTGTGGCCTTCTGGGATTGCGATGGAATAAAGAAGATGACAAAATAGCTGTAACCTTCCCTACAGAGATTGCTGACCCTACCAAAAGAGGTGTGCTGTGCAAAATTGCGAAGATCTACGACCCCATCGGTCTTGCTGCGCCCGTAATCCTACAAGGAAAGATTGTTTATCGCGATATATGCAAGGAAAAGACCGCGTGGGACGAAGAGATTCCATTACAAATCGCAAAGAAGTGGAGCAAGTGAGAAAATAACCTGCCTGATCAAGTTGAAGTGCCCAGGTCCTTAGCTGTAGCGGGAGAAGAAATCCGTGAAATTACTCTTCATGCCTTTGGCGATGCAAGTGTACAGGGATTAGCAGCAGCTGTTTATGCAGTGGTCCAGCAACATTCAGTGGTGACGCATGGACTCGTCGCAGCGAAGGCACGCCTCGCCAAAGAAGGTCTCACAATCCCCAGACTTGAGTTAGTAGCTGGTCATGTGGTGGCTAACTTGCTAACTAATGTACGAGATGCGCTGATCGGGTTTCCAGTTAAGTCCTTGTACGCATGGCTAGACAGTAGTGTCGCCCTACACTGGATAAGGGGCTCCGGGGAATATAAGCAGTTTGTCAGCAACCGCGTCCGCAAGATCAGAGAGAAAACTGAAATCACATGGAGGCATGTACCGAGCCAAGAAAACCCTTCAGACTTAGCAAGTAGAGGAGGACTAGTGAAGGAAGATAACTCGTTGTGGTGGAATGGTCCGACATGGTTGAAAGAACAAGACAGCTGGCCGCCGGACATCATAACGGTTGCAAGCCCAGAATCTAACGCAGAAGCGAAAGCCTCCAAGCAGATTTTTGTCTTAGCAGTAGAAAGCAACGATGTTATGGACGAACTGTTACTAAGATCATCCCTTTGGCGCACATTGAGAGTGGGGGCGTGGGTCGCACGATTCCTGGGCAACAAATCCCCAAGAAATCAGAGAATCAAAGGTCCATTGACTACCGAGGAAATTAACACGCAGAGGTTGTTCTGGGAGAAGAAGACTCAAAAACAGTGGAAGGGATCTGATCAATTCCAGGAAGACCACTTAAGACTTAACCTGCAGCCAAACCGAAAGGAGGTTCTCGAGTGCCGTGGAAGAATCCAGGGAAACTATCCCGTCTATCTCCCTGATAGTGCTCTCTACACCCTGAAGTTCGTACAACACGCTCATGAGATTACTCTTTATGGGTGAGTAGGACTAACCATGGCCAAAGTGCGAGAGTCTCATTGGATACCAAGGTTGCGCAAGCTTGTTAAACGAGTAATCAAGCAATGTTACGGATGCAAACGGTTTCAGATCGCTGCGTTCGCCAATCCACCTCAAGGAAATTTACCTCGTGACCGCACTGAAGGAAATTCACCTTTTCAAGTAGTTGGTGTTGACTACGCCGGTCCCATCAAGTACCGCACAAGCAAAAACAGAAAAGGGAAAGCCTATATTGTCCTGTACGCCTGTAGCCTGACACGATCACTTTACCTAGAGCTTACCAAAACCTTGGAGACTAACGAGTTCATCAGCACCCTTAAGCGCCTGATCGCCAGAAAGGGCCGTCCAGAGAAAATCTATTCCGATAACGGTAAATCGTTCGTGGCAGCAGCGAAGTGGCTGAGAAACGTAATGAAAGATGAGCGCCCGCATAACTTCCTAGCCAAAGTCGACGTCAAGTGGCAGTTCAACCTGTCCAGAGCACCCTGGTGGGGAGGTCAATTTGAGAGGATGGTTGGTCTTGTCAAAAGAGCCTTTAACAAGACAGTGGGAAACGGTATGCTTACCTGGGGTGAGCTACAGGATGTTCTTCTGGACGTTGAAGTTACCATGAATAACCTCCCGCTGAGCTATGTTGAATTACCCATATTGACCCCCAACCTGTTGCAGTTTGGCCGCCCGAATCTATTGCCTGAAACACAGAGCCATCAGTTGGAGAACCAAGACCTGAGAAAGCGTGCACGGTACCTGAAGAAATGTAAAGACGTACTATGGGGGAGGTGGTCTTCAGAATACCTACGAGGCTTGCGTGAGCGGCACAATTTAAAGCACAAAGGAAGTAAGGTGGCCCTAGCTAAGGGAGATGTTGTCATCATTAAAGGCGAAGAAAAGAATCGTGGATTGTGGAAGCTAGGAATAGTCGAAGAGCTGATTACTGGACGAGACAGAGTTGTCAGAGGGGCTAAACTGCGAGCGGGAAGATCTTATCTGGAGAGACCTGTCCAACACCTTTATCCAATGGAGCTGTCCTGTTACAGGACAACAGCTATGCCGTCAAGAGACGCTGCTGTGGCAGCACGTGCCAGGATAAAAGACGCTGCCGAACTTACTGATGATGACTACTGATCTTTGAACATTTCTATTAGAGACATTGCAACTATGATTAGAAAAATCGAATTGTTCATCACTATTCGCGATGAACAGGGGTAGAGGGTTATGAAGCAAGAGTGTAGCGTGATTGTGAGATGGCGTGATTTTATTATTCCTTTGATTTTGTTATTAATAGTTTCACTCGTCTGTCAGAGCGACAGAGAACTTGATGACAGATCGCATTAAAAACTAAAGCTTATAGATTCAAGAAAGTCACGACTTTGTGTAGTGTGTGAGCGAGCCATTGTACTGTGAGGATGGAAGCTGTGAAATAAACCCTGTTTTGCTTTAAAACTGTGATATCGTGAAGAACGGCCCTTCGGTATTCACGACACACGCTTCCCTCTATAACTTTACTCAGAGAGGTATGTAGAGTGTTAGCTTTATAGGCCATTTTGTATTCTTCTGGAGTTTACCGCTGACTACTCGTCCACAGACTCCCGTTCCCCTTTGGAACTTAGTGTAATGGTCTGCTTAAATTCCATGGCTATTTAGTACCATGACAAAGATAGAAAACCGCTCATCTCCAATCTAACACAGCCTGCTTTCTGCCTTGTACCCAGACGTCTCTCTCTCGCTCGCCTCTACCTTGCAAAAAACGAAGCGCCTGAGGAGGAGGCTGGCCTGCTTCAGTGACTGATTTTGGATGGAATACATTTTCACCTTTTTAACAAATGTTTGAGTCACCTTCATAGCCCATGAAGTTCTGAAACTAGTGTTCACTTACACTGATGTTACAACTTCCTTGCACCAGGCATTAAGAAAAGCAATAGAACATCATTCTTCTGGCATGCTTTAAAAAGGCAAAATTAATCACTCGCGAAATACAGTATGTACAAGGTACCAGCTCACCACTTAAGAAATAGTATTGCGCAATCACTCCGTATCGTAAGTATTAACCTGGGATCAGGGCCAATTTTAGTGGTTCTCATACATTCTCTCTAACGGCTACCGCTAAAATTGGGCCTGATACACAACTGTCGCAAGTTTATGCTCACTGCGGCCAGATTTTGGCCGCAACACTGATTGGCTGTTAGAACAATGTCACAAGATCTGATTGGCTGTTGGAATCAACGGAAGTTGAAAGCGCTTATTCCTCGCGTGGTTGTTTTCGCAAATGATCAGTCGTCGGCGGAGAGAAGGATCGATTTTGCAGTCTTTTTTATCGTTTTATGGTTTTATAGTAGGAAAATATGCCTTAATATGTGCCATGGAAATTTAAAAAATTCAGATGGTTGTTCATATCTTCTCAGAATTTGCTTAATTTACGGAACTAATGTGAGTGTATCGCAGAGTTGACTCTCTCTGCAAGTTGTTGACCGCTAACAATGCGTAGAATGTGCCTTTTGATTTACCAACAAACGAGTGCAAATCAAAATACTGAACATCTTAGAACTGGTTTCATTTGAAAGTTTAGCTGGGAATGATTTCTCTGAACGGGGTACGCAAGCGGAGGCTCACTCAATCGCCAAATGCGAAGTATCAAACGAAAAATATCACATCGCTGTTCAAGGAATTTTTTGTAGGCATTTAATATTGTAAGCTAGTGGCGCTAGTCTTAAGTTAATAGACCTGTTGTTTGCCTTCACTTTTCGTAAAAAATATAGCAGGAAAACTGGTGTCCTCGCTCGCTGGCTGTGTGCTGTTTGTTAATTTCGATTAACAAATTTAGCGGGCGTTTCAGACCTGCAGTAAAACAGCAACACAACTAAAGAGAACTACAAAGTGTTTATAATATTGTTTTTCGTTTTGTTTACAGGTCAGTTGAGCATGCATTATTAGTAGTGTCGTTTCGTCTTACCAAATTGGCAGATAATATTTACCTGGATTTTAGACGTTTGTTTCTCTAGTAAATTCGCAAATTACAAGTGTACTCACGGGACTAAATCAGCTAAATGAAATGCACTTGAGAACTCGTTTAGTTTTTTTCTGAGAAAATTTATATATCCTTTGAAAAAGTTCGCGATTTATTTCTCCAAGATTTTTAAAGATTTATGTACTGAAAATCGGGCAAAATTGCCGAGGAAAATATAAAGGCAACAGAAAATTAGAATTTCAGTATTTTAAATTCGAGCACGCCAAGACAAAATATTAACTAGAACATCGTGTCAACGTCTTTTCGAAAACTTTTTACCTTCTACGCCAACAGAAATAACCTTGGAGATCTCCTTTAATCTCGTAAGAAGTTAAATGTGATTGTGCTGACTGTTTTACTTTTAGTTGACAAAATTAAAAGGTAAAAGCTATTTTTTAAGTCAGCAAGTCTGCAGTTTTCTCACGTATGAAACATTTGCAAACTAAAAAAAAGCAACGGAAGTAATTTTGGTTGGCTGATTCAGCAAATGTCAATAAATCAAAAAAGTTGGAGGGGAAGGACTGGGTCTAGCATGGCGAACGAATAGGTCGCGTAGTGTTGAGCAGGAGGCAGTGATTGCAATTTTTCATCTTTATACGCCTCTAATGTCTTCCAAAAGGAAAGGCAGATCTGGTGCAGCATCTCAATCTTCTAATCAGTCACGTGAAGAGAAAAGAAGCAAAAATAGTGAAACGGACGAAGTGTTTGAAGCGCTGGAGATGGCGGAGGACGTCAGTCTGAAACTGCAGCGTGTGCTGGATAAATTAGAAAAACTCAATAAGATAGAAGCGTATCTTAGCGAGGTTTCTGCCAGTCTTGCTAGTATCGAGGAGAAAGTATCTCGTTTATATGAAGATGTACAAGACCTGAAGCAAAAAAACAAACAGAGTGGAAAAGAAAGAGTCCGAATTGAAAGAAAGTACCCAGTTCAAAGACAACGACATTTCAGACGTAAAGAAAGAGTCACAGGAGTCAAAATTTGAATTAAATGATCTTCGCAAGCAGTTATTGTATTTAGAAACCTATTCAAGGGGAGAAAATGTTAAATTCTTTGGGATTGACGAAGTAGTGCCGGCTTCTGAAGTTAACTTCCCACCCGAGGATACAAGAGATTTAGTGTTCAAATTCCTGGAAAACAAGTCTCGTATTGAAAACCCTCGTGGTAGAATCGAGTTCCAAAAAGTGCATCGAATGGGAAAGCCTAACAACAGCAGTGACAAACCTCGCCCAATTATCGCACGTTTCTTACGATATTCGGACAAGGAAATGGTGATGGATTAAGCCCGCAAGGACTTAAAGAGTCAAGAGGACAAACAATTTTCGGTGTTTGACGATATACCAAAAGACCTTTATGAAATAAGAAAAAGTCAGATGAAAAAGTTCAAGGAAGCCAGAGGCAAAGGCTGTACAGTATATTTCAGCAAAGCGCAACCGGATAAGTTATTGTCAATGGTAAATTTATCCCTGCAAATGCTTCATTGACAGATTTTGTTTAGGTACGAGCACCGCTCTCTACACATATCCAGAGAAAAATGTACATGTAAATGTAATACTCTCATCGGAGCTTTTCTTTCACTCTGCTCTCAAATAGTCATGTATTTGCATACAGTTTCCTCGTAATCTGTTGTAGGCGTTAAGTACATTTACTTTAAAACTTTATTTCCGAATCACTGTCTCTAAAGCTCAACTAGGCTTTTTGCTGTCGTACGCAAACATGCAACCTCAAACAACTTTACTTAGTTCCATTCCAGAGCGCAGCATTCGAGATAGTTATCGTACTGTTCTTTTAAGTGTTTGTATCAGTATTAAGTGGTTGTACTCTATTGTTTTTGTTTTCGTTTTCGTGGTTATTTTCCTTTCATTTTCTGTTATTCAAAGCTATCGCAGCATGTCAGTCAAGAATTTCTTTGAGTGTCAGATTGATGTCAATGTGTTGATAAATTTTTCCGACCAAATTAGATCCTACTTATTCTGGCAATATGGGGCGTAATAGCGAGTTCAATCTTTTATCGTTAAATGTTCATAGGATTCGCACTTTTGAAAAGCGGAAAGCTGTTTTTAGTTGGCTTGTAAATTCCGATGTCCTGCAAGAAACATACAGCACTCGAGATGTTGAAAATGTCTGGAGAAAACAATGGAAAGGTGACATGTTCTTCTTGCATGGCAGCAATCATAGCAGAGGTGTTCTGGTACTGATAAAGGATAATTTAGATTTCAAAATACATTCTACCAAGGTAGATTTTCAAGGTCTCTACATTTTTCTAAATGCTTGTATTCAGGATTCGCCTTACTTTCTTTTAAACATTTACGCTCCAAATAAGTGTAGTGAACAATTTCTCTTCTTCAAAGACGTATCGGATATTCTAAAAGGTGCGAGAGTGGAACAAGATCACCCATTTATAGGCCAAAAAACAAACCACACCTACCGCTAAAGAGAAGCTATCCGCAAAGTATCATCATTTAACTATTGACTGGACAAGAGTTTACTTATTATCTTTCCGCACAACATTAGAAACAAAACTTAAGGAATTTCAGTTCAAAATACTGAACCGTATCGTATACACGAATGAGAAACTTTTTCGTTTTGGTATGGCTGAACCAGATAAATGTGTTTTCTGCCAAACTGAGGTCGAATCCATCGAGCATTTACTTTTTTCCTCTAAAACATCCTCTGATTTTTGGAAACACGTCTTGTCCTGGCTAAGAGACAACAACATTATTGTTGAGAATTCAAAAGAAGAGGATATAATCTTCGGGAAAATTTGATGTTGGAGATGATTTCCTTCTAGCTGATCATATTTTATTGCTTGGGAAGTACTATATTTATTCACAGAAATGTCAAAAGGGTACGCCTTCCCTTCAGGGGTTCATTGCTAGGACTAGGTGTGTTTACAACATTGAACTTTACATTGCCAGGAAAAGAGGCACATTAAATAAACATTTTAGTAAGTGGAAAAAGTTAATCAATATAATATGATCTAATTAACAATTAAATATTGTGCATAAATATAAAGATAGGTACTTTCTATCAACTTAGATATTGTCTGCTGTAATAGTTTTTTCTTTTTTTGTCTTTTTGTTTTGTTTTGTTTGTTTGTTTTTCCTTTTTACTTTAAGTGTACTCTGTAAAATGAAAACTTCAAATAAAAATTAATAAATTACAAAAAAAAAAGTGGGAGGCAGACGTTTCGTAGATCGAAGGATTTGTATCAGGCTCTCTTATTCTTTCACCTTGCCCGCCGGAATGTTATTTACAAAGCGAAACGAAAATTGTATTTGATCTCAGGTTACGTATAAATACGCATTGGCCAATTGCCATTTCCAGGCCTTGGAGGGGGTCCTTGCAAGAATGTTTTATCTTTCTATATTTTGTTGGAAATAATTTCGCAGACGCGTTTTGTCCAAATTCTAAAAACGCAAGTGAAATTCAGTTCCCTTATTTCACGAAGCATGCCATTTGATTAAATACAGCGTGCCTTAGACGTTCCTCGTGCTGACGCAGTTAAAGACAAACCTCATACACAGACTGAAACCACTCCTTGTGTTATTACATATAACCGTACATTGCCTAATGTCGCGCACATTATTCACAAAACTTCAACAACTTCAACTTCAACTTCAACTTTATTTCATAAGACTATTGGTTACAATAGACTGGCCCGCAAAATAGCAATTGCTAATCTAGGCGGACCAGTTAAAAGAAAAATAAATTGAAAGGAAAAGAAAGGAAAGGAAAAGGAAAGAAAAACTACAATTTGAAGTTACAATAAATAATATTCTATCACAGTTTTATTTTAATTACATTAAATCTGAACAAGCAAACAAACAAATACTTTAATACAGAAATCACTAAACTATTAATCGAACTTTTTCAACTATTAAGGGCGTCTCAATATAGTCATCTTCTCTTTTTAAGATATCCGAAAGCAATCTGTGAAGTACTTTCCTAAATTTCTTTTTAGGAAGATCTCTAATATGACAAGGCATCTCATTCCAAAGTTTTACACCAAAGCGAGACAAGGAGTTTTTGTGTATTTCCAGCTTTGAGCTTTTGACGTGAAAGTTACCTGAACTAGATGATCTTGTATAGTAAGAATGAATTGTTGAGGTTTTTTCAAATAAATTGAGCAGATTTGTTGGCGAATTGTTGTTGTTAATATCGTGCATTAGATTAGCCACAGTTTTATAATACATAAATGACACTGGTAATATGTCAGCGTCGATAAATAGAGGAATTGCGTGTTCACGTATATCCGTAAAATACATCGTGCGAAGCACTTTCTTCTGGAGAATTAAAATTTTATTGAGGGACGTCTTGGATGCCTGACCCCAGGCAGCAAGACCATAGTTTAGGTGAGGGTGGATTAATGTTTGGTAAATATATAACAGTATATGACGGGGTATGGAGTGCCGAAGTTTTGAAATTAGTCCAACGGTTTTACTGATTTTTGCCGTAACGGCGTCAATGTGATATTTCCAAGTAAGATTTTCATCAATCAACACACCAAGATATTTAATATAATTTTTGGACTCTAGAGTTACATTTCCATTTTTTTTCGTTATCGAACATGTAGAGGCTCGGTTGGTAAGTGACTTTTTTTTGATAAGGATGAAAGATTACAAAGTTCGTTTTTGTAGTATTGAGAGTTAACTTATTGGATGTTAACCATTCGTGGAGGTTTTGTAATTCGATATTTACTATATTTTCTAGGGACTTTAAGTTTTTATCGGCATAAAGGATATTAGTATCATCGGCGAAGAGAAAAAACTTAAGTTTATTCCAGCATTGATGTATGTCATTAACATACAATAAAAAAAGCAACGGGCCGAGCACAGATCCTTGGGGAATGCCATAACTTACGTTGGCTTTGTTTGAAATGTATGGTCCGATTTGGGTAGATTGCATCCGATTATTCAAATACGAGGAGAACCAATCATTAATTATTCCACGAAAACCATAGTGATTAAGTTTGTCAAGCAAAATGTTATGATCGACAGTATCAAAAGCTTTCTTGAGGTCTATGAAGACTCCGCACGAGAAAAGGCCTTGATTCATATTAATTTGTATTGCGTTTACAATGTCTAATATTGCATGTTGAGTCGAGTGACCTTTACGAAAACCGTACTGGGAGGAATACAATAAGTTATGTTTGTCAATGTAATCTTTCATTCCGTTGTACATGATCTTTTCAAAAATTCTGTTAAAGTTAGATAATAAGGATATAGGCCTGTAGTTATTCGCATCATTATCTTCACCACTCTTGAATATTGGAGTTATTTTGGACAATTTAAGTTTTCAGGGGTATTTTTCCTAGTGTCACTGAGATATTTAATATTTCTGAAAGAATAGGAGCTATGATACTACTTGCACACTTTAATAATTTTATGGGAGATGAATATAGACCATAAGACTTGTTGTTTGGTATGGAGAGTATCTGAAATTTCACTTCGTCGGACGTTACCGGTAAGAATAGAAAAGATGGAGATGGTGCTTTGTAATGACTAACATAATTAAGATAATGTTGTTGTGGCTTTGGAATTGTGCTAGCTAGCCTATTTCCTACAGACGAAAAATGGTCATTAAGAATATTAGCGACCTGTGAAGGTTCTTTTACGATTTTGTTGCTCTTATTCGGGTCCTTAATAGCAGTTATAATTTTGGTCTTCTTTCTGCGATGCAACACGTCATTTATTCCTTCCCGTGTCTTTTTCATGTTTGTTTTGTGGCGTTCGAAATAATCCTGATAGTATATCTTTTTACTTAGACGTATCAGGCTACAAATTTTGTTTCTATAATATTTGTATTTGTCTTCGTCACCGGACACATACAATTTGTTTTTAACCATAATGGACGCTTTTAATCCAGTAGTAATCCAAGGCTTAGAAAGCTGTTTGGCTTTACGCTTTGATAACTTTGTAATGGGAGCATGTTTGTTTACAATCTTATTAAATTTCTTATAAAAGGTTGAAAATAATTTGTCTGGATCAGTTGCATGATTTACGAGGATACATTCCCAGTCAACCTCAGAGAGTTCCCTATTGAATTGGTCTGCGGAAAAATTAGAAAAATCGCGTATCTTGGTAGTGTACCCTCTATATTTATCTCTTGCTGCTTTGATTATGCAAAATTGAGAGAAGTGATCGCTAATATCGGAGATGATATTACCGCTGAGAAGTATTTGGTCAGGGTTGTTTAAGAAGATATTATCAATTAACGTAGCTGAGTTCCTGTGGACTCGAGTGGGCTTATCAACTGTTGGAATGAGATAGCAACTTTGTAAGGACATTAAGAAGTCATGGCTAATTTGAGATGTTTCGCATTTCAATAGATCTATGTTGAAATCGCCCATGATAAATACATTTTTATTAAGAGATGTCAATTTTTCGATGGTTTCTTCGAAGTAAGACATGAACTGATCCGGAGAATTGTGTTGGCGATATATTATACCACAGACAATGTTTTTGTTATTTGCAAAAAATATCTCAATCCAAAGGGCTTGAAAAGCTTCATTAGAGATCTTTTCTAAAACTGTGTAATTTAGTGATTCGTGAATGAAAAGGCCAACACCTCCAGATGCTAGAGGTGTTGGGACAAAGTCGAAAACATATCCCGGTATGCAAGAAAAAGACCCGTTCTCATTTGAATTTGTAATTTTGGTCTCTGTGACACCAATTAAGTTAAATTGAAACTCGAGTTCATCCAGTAGTATTGTTAAATTTTCCAAATTTTGGTTAATGCTTACAACATTATTGTGAAAAACTGAAAAACTAGATTGAACCTCACTGTTGGATAGCTTTCTATTAAATAATTTGAAACTATGCGGGGATAAATATCGACATTGTCTGTGATCGTTATTGTTATTATTTAATTGACCGTCAAGATTAGTAAATAGATCTAGATCAAATAAGCTGGATAATTTATCTAGATGTCTCCTACACTGGGAAGTAGTGGACACCGAATTATTAAATTGGCCATGAAAGAGGGCTAGATTGCCTCTAAATGTAAAGTAAGGCAGCTCTTTGAGTGTTGATGTTTGAGCTTTTTCTTGGACCTTATTTCTACGGCGTAACTTCATTTTAAGCTAATTTAAGCGATAGAGCGAAAAAGGTTTTCAGAATTACCCCGCTTAATGCAACTCTAATATCTCAAAGTACTTAGCTTATCGTGACTCCCTCAGTTCATTTAATTCGTCGAGGCTTGTTAGCTTTATGACTGTTGATGTTTCCGTTTTGCGCAGACAGACAGCTCCGTTTTTCGCCCAACAGAATTTGAAGTTATTGGCGTTCTTGTATTTTTCTTGCTCTCGAAGAGAAGCTCCTGTAGTCGAGGAGTTAGATGATCATACAAGTTAATATGACTGATATCAAAATCGTCAGGGAAGCCTAACTGTGACGCCTCGAGGTTCTCCAATCTCCTTCGCGCAGCCATAACTTTTCCCTTTGCCAGTCTTCGAGTAAATTTGCAAACGATAGCATTCGGCCTGTTCGAGGCAGAACGGCTCGGTATCCGATGAGCAATATCGATGTCGTTAAGCGAAACATCTTCAACTCCAAGGGCTTCAAACAGCCTAAGGCAGAGAGCTACAGTTTGATCGGAGGTTTCATTTTGCGTTGTAGCTGGCATACCCACAATTTTAACATTAAACTGGTAACTGTATGCTTCAAGAGTGTCGATGGATTTAGCAATTCGGTCGCAGAGAATGGAGATTTCAGCGACTCTAGTAAACAGTTGTTTGATTTGCTTCACCGCTTCGTCTTTGAAGGCGACAAGGTCGTCATATTTACTGGAGACGAATTCAGGCGAATGAGCACGTTCTGACGACATTTTCTTCTCGGCGTCCGGCTTCGTCAACTCCGCTTTCTTTGACGAAAATTCTTCGGAAATTTTCTGGAGTTTTTCTTTCAATTCAGCTATCTCATTTCGTAAAGATTGATTTTCCTTCCTCAGCTTTTCATTCCCGGTCATAATTGGCAGAAGAAAAGACGCAAATTCTAATCTTAGCTCGGAGAGCTCTTAAACACACGTCCGACCAGTACAAGCACCGCACCAGTCCCAAACATTCCAACGTCCTCTATAGGCAGGTGTCTTAAGGTCAGGATTGTTACAGAGTTGACAAAAGCACCAAACTCTGCACAGAGATAGCTTATTGCAGCACCATGAATATTAGAGGGGGTGCCCAATGCAAATATGCCACTGAAGCGTTCTAATCAGGATTTAATTTTTTTTTAAATTTCACCTGCTGGGGTCCTTGTGGTGTTTTGATTGAAAATTGGTATTTAATACCTTAAATCACTCAGAATGCTCTTCACATGTATTAAACAACAATTCAATTCACTTAAACATCTGGCATTCCCATCCATTGTTAACTTATTGATTGTATAATTAAGTCGATTATTACTGTGCCCTTAAAGCAACTCCACAGTCCGCCCACATCTTCATAAGTCATTTCTAAGATGGCTTCGTCTTTGCTTCATACATGCATGTACTCAGCTCCTGGGGTTCTCATCTCCTTTTCTACTGTATTTCAATTAGAGGAGGCCTTATCGTGTGGCTTAAGCCTTATTTATCAAGTATTACTTGTCATTACATGTCCCTTTAAGCTAAAGAGAGTGTATAGCATAGCGATTCACACACAAAATTTCAGAAAAAAAAATTGTTAAAGAGTCTGTTGTATCACATTATCAGGGATTTATGACAGCTGTTCATGAAGAGCAAATAACGAAATGACGGAACCCAAAATAGTTCTTTCCTAAGGAGGTAATTAATTTTTGGAGCTTAACGTAGGCCTGGATGCCTTTCAGTCTCTCTTTATCTGCTGGACGCACGTGCATGTTTTGACAGAGAAGCAAGTATCGCGGCCCAAGTCGTATCATCTACAATTCCCGCAGTTTGTCTAAGCTTTACAAAGCAAAAACAAACAAAAAGGAATCTGGTCTCATAAATGAAAAAAAGGAAACAAGCTCGCCCAATTTTCAAAAACAGCACAGTTTATCATGAAGCCTCTACATTTGGCGCTGATGCACTCATGTCCAAAAATAATAACAGCTTATCAAGTCGTGAAAAGTGAGACTCAAGTGGTACAAGATTGTACAGGTTGAAAAACAATTTACTCTACCTAGTGAATCAAATGATAAATGGTGAATGGTTTAACTGCTGAAACTGTACAAAGGGTACCGGGCTACCTTTTAGGGCCTGTTTACATGGAGGAACGGGACCCCAGGTAGGCGAGGTAACCCGCCTGTTCATATCACCTCTTTTGTTAATTTGATCACGTTTACATGATAGGTGGGGTGACCCTTTAAGGTGGGTAGCCCAGTCTGCCAGACGGGGTGACACAGCTTTTCATGGGGGTCAAATTTTGTCATGTCAGTGTTTCAAGGTGGGGTAACCCAGGCTATTCGAGGTCGGATTCGTGATACATCAAATTCGCGCAAAATTCACTTGGCTGTGGCTTCACATAATTCATTATTAAAGGTAACAATAGAAAGCCACAAGCTGAAGGTTGCAGCAAGAGCAGCAAGTGAGTGTAGAAGAGCATTAATCGCCAAAACACGTGGTTTGCCAGCATTGTTGTTGTTTACGTGCTTAGCGACCATTCCATAATCTTGAGAAAGTGCACCTCAGGATGGGGGGTTGTAAGATTGCATGTAAAGGAGCTAGGGGTTTTTTTTACCCCACCTAAGCATGTTACCTCACCTACCTGGGGTCCCCCACCTTCATGTTAACAGGCCCTAAGTCTCAGGAACCGTGAAACTGGTAATAACAGGTATACCAAACCCGGGACCAGCTGTGATACTACTTCCATCTTCAATAACGTCTGCATCATAGCAGCCAAAGGAGCCATATCCGTGTAACACGAATATTAGATTGCGGTTGTTTCATGCGTCTCGCTTTGTGACTTTGTGGTGTTCGTTTTTGTCACCATCTCTAAATTTCAATCATTTTCAAAACACCCCTACTAACAAAATATTTCGTAAAGCTGATTAGAATGATATTGAGCAATAAAAACAAGGTGTGGCCAGAAGCCGATTTCTAGGCTCCTGGTGTGGCAATATAGGCATAAGTGAATGTAAAGTTTTGTGGTAGGTAATCTGTCAGAAATCTATTTGAGTGGTCAAAGTTGGGGCTGATGGCTTCTTTATCATGACCACTCCTTTATTATAAGGGACCAGGTCATAATTAGTGTTGACCCTTGCTATTTGGTATTTTCCGTAATTTTCCATAGCATTATGTGAAAAGTTGGTAACTGAATTGCTCTTGAGGAATTCATGATCGTAAGATCTCGTAACCACGGGTATTCGCCTTATTGATTCAAACAAATTACATTTATTTTCATAAATGATGTATCATTGGTTGGGTAAAAGAGGCCTTGTTCCTGTAACGTTCAGCTCTTCTGAAGTTAGTTTGTTTGTAAATTGTAACACATGCGACGACCTTCCTTTTTTTGAAAGATTGTATAGACCTACCATTAACATTTAACCCTGGTGCGAGGGCTCTGAAGTGAATGAGCTCCTTATAGGTATCTAGGCATTGAGGGACCTCATACACTGCTTTGTAAATGCAAATATGTAAAAAATAAAGAGTGTTAACAATTCCTTTAGAGGCATGTTTTACAACCTCGTCCTCAGGGCTTAATAAAAAGATAGATAACAAGGTAAAGCGACCATATTTCCACTCCTTTTACCTCCTCTCTCCATTAATGCTACGTTTTAAGGGTATTTAAGACTAGGCAAAGCTACACATACAGAGAGGAAAGAAGTTGAAATAAGGATGTGTTGACACGGAGGATCGAACTCGGACCTCGCGCACCGAAGGCTGCGCACCATCCAACTGTTCTACCCTTTCTCCTCCTTTTCCCCCTGATGACGAAGTTGGCATGTTTTAATCATTAGGAAGCTTAAGCAAAGATGTTTTTCACGACGCACGTCGACTAGAAGTGAGATGTTTAGATCTTTTTCATTTTAAAATGAATTGACAATACCAAATTTGTACTTCTTAGTCTCTTTCTTATTATAGAGACGATTTGTTCGAAAATTCGGGCAAAAATACGGCTCAGGAATAAATAAAGTCCACTTACGGTTGACGTGCGTCGCTCAAAAACGTCTTTGCTTTGGTTCCCTATTACCTCAAGGACGGGGTTACCAGCGAAGAAAATTATAATCTAATCTAAGCGGCACAATTACAAAGTGGGCACGTTGTCAGTTACGGTTCACGAGGTCGTTCATGTGGCATGTCAAAATTTAACGATATTTCCTCGTATTTGGGAAATGATGACCAAGATGGGATTCTGTCGTGTAGGATGTCATATGTTTGGGTTTTATGTTATTGTATGACACCTTTGAAAGCTGGCTTTGTCTTCTATTTGAATTGATATGTAATGACATTATCACTGAAAAGTCTTACCAGTGACACTGATAGCCGCACAGTGAACAGGGGCACACTTACCGTGTGGAGACTGGGCAGTAGTCAATATTATGCACATGTAAAACTATTTTGAACAGTGTAACAACAACTAAACATCACTAAACTCAAAACTCAAAGAATTTGAAACAAATGTTCTTTCAGCCGAATCAAACAAAAAGAGGACTCACCACAGGGAACCCAATCTGCTATTATATGTAAAAGTTAAACCCTTTTGTCTGTAATCAGGACCGTTTCTAACGGGCACCCCCTCTAGTATTAATCAGTAGGTGTTAAGGAAGCTCTGTGCCAAATTTGACACTTTTGTCACGTGTCTAAATATTTGGCCTATATTTTGCACTAAGAGACCTGACTACTAGTCCTCAGAACGCTGTAGAAATTTTTTTTAAAACCTTCCAGTAGTAGCTACCGCCGTTCTAACAGTTTCAGCGATATTCTTGTTTAAGCCCAATTGCCAGAGACTGGTAATTGTAACAATGCCTGAGCCACTCCTGGTTCTTTTTAACAACAGGAACTGCAACAGATGCCCCTATATTGACCACTGCCGTGACAATTATACTTTCTACTCTGCTGGTGAAACCTACAAAACCAAATCTAACATTACTTGTAATACTTTTAATGTTATCTACATGATTCAATGCCGCCTTTGTAATATGGAATATATTGGGGAAACCAAACGCCGCCTAAAGAACCGTTTTAATGAACATAGACGCCCTGTACTTAACCCCTCCGGTTGTTACATCCAAACTGCAGTTTCAGAACACTTCCTCAGCAACAGTCACCCAGTTTCTCATATGTTACTTTTCCCAATTGAAACACTTAGATATGGACGCGATTGTCTTGGAAAGCACGTGAGGCACGCCTAATTCATAAAGCGAAAACCATCGAGCCTCTGCGAATGAATAAACGTGACGAACTGTCATCATTATGTATAAGCTTTATGTTTTTTTCGGTTTATTTTTCTTAGCAGCCACACCTTTCCCCGCCATACCATGTAACTTCCGTTTATTATTTTACAGTAGTATATATTCTTTGTATTCGTGGCTCTCCTAATAAACTTGATAAAGACTGGTATTGGCCAGTCGAAATATTGTACACCTCAGCCTTTTTCACGTTGTTTGATCAATCTTTGCAGTAGTCTTTTTGACTTTAATTCTAATTATAAGAGATCAAATAAACCTTGTACAGGTTCTTTTTTTAATGCAGTGGGGAGAAATTTGTGAGCATTTTGCCGAGTCGTTAATGATTTTCATAGGTTGATTGAAGTGTTTAAAAAAATCCACTGCGTAAATTATCGACGGTCGCTTATGCATGATTCACACAGTCATCTGGCATTACTCGGGCAGCGCTCACACGTCTTTCACGTCTATCCTGGCCATAGTGCTACCCATGATGAACAGTACAATGTATTCATACTTTTAAGCGATTCTTCTTAAGAGTTTCTTTCGGCACCAATACCAATTAACAAAACTTCAAACAAATCAATAATTCATAAATAAATACAAAGAAAATTTATGTTTAATGAGTGTTTGGAAATCGGTTGAAAAACTGCTCATTTTTGAATCCTTAATTTCTCCGTCTAAAATCATTTTGTTTGAGAAGTAGTATCAAGCATTCGACACAGTGTTTCATCACCAGATGAAACACCTCGAAGTTCATCAAAAATACTCCGCTAGCTGCGCGTCGTAAATTCAACTCTCTTCTTAGTGTTTCATCTGGTGATGAAACACTGCGTCTCATGCATGTTTGATATATTACCTGACAATCGGTAGTCAGGCAGTTGAAAAAACCCATCGAACAGCCTTAACTAGTTACTTAAGTAATTTGCAGTTCATATTCTGATACAAACGAATCATTTGTTTTGGAAGAAATAGTGACATAGAGTTTTGCAGACTCTTCAGTACGCAATGGCTTAATACTTTGCGTGATCATGGGTGTATAATAATTTAATGTTTTGAAGTATCAACATCAAACTCTTCTTTAAGTTTTTTGTTTTTAATTACTTTGGTAATAATTTTAGCTTCTAAGGATTCTTCTGAATGTCATGATCTGCTGAACACATCTCTTAACAAGGAAATAGGTCGGCAATATTTTTGATAATCAAGGAAGAATAAGAGCTTACAACACCAAGGTCCGAACAGGAAGGATTAACTTATGCCACGACAAAAAAATCACGGCAAAGAAAGCATGACACGCCTTGTTGTTGCCAATTAAAAAGACTCGTAGACACATCAGAATGTTCGTTTAGGGCCTCGCCGTGGATGAGCTGCAATTATGCAAACCCGTACGAACCGAGCAGCAATCGCGGAGCGCTGCATGACTTCACCGTTTTTGGTTGCACAGAGCTTACGCATCCGTTCTGCAGCGTTCACGAATCCATCGAGCAGCGGAAGCCAAAAATTGTGCGCTGCGAAATGGTTGCAGTTTTCAAATATTCTAAAACAGCGTTAAAGCAGTGTAAGCATCGCTGCTCAATTGCTCTCGCTTGATCTCTCGCTTGCACCTACTATCACGAAACCTATTCTGTACTGCAAACGCCCTGCCGGAAGGTTGCAGAGCCCTTGCAGATTACGGGCAATGTACTTTTGAGATACGTTCAGTGAGAAAAGCAGTATGCTTTAAGTATTTCTTGAAATAAAAGCGAGAACTTACCGATAGAAAATTTTCGCCTCCAGGGCATACAGCGCGAAATTAAATATCCATCGACTTTATCCGTTGTGATTTAGCAGGAGGATTTAGGCCACAGAATGGTTTGTGCAGCGTGAACGGAAAAAGCGAATCACATGAGAGAGCGAAACAACATTTTTGTCTCGCTGCATGAGGCAGAGGTCGAACAAAACTCGACAACTCGCTTTCGTTTTGATAAGAAATATGCGTGACTTTAGCGAGATAAAATTTTATCGTGCTTGGGATCGATCGCTCTAATTTTAGTAACATTATCATTTTCCTAAGACCTTTTTTGCGTCCGCTTACGAAAAAATCAACCAGTTGATGAACATTCGACAACGCGATTATTTCTAGTCTGATGTTTGAAAAAGGTGGAATTGTACGCAGGTAAAGGCAGAGAATGAGCCCAGTGAAATTTGAACCTTTCTTGTTGTTTTGGCAGACAATTTGCTCAAACATAATTGGTCTAGCTGTGGAGTTGTTTGTTTGCTCCTTTTCTCAGATTATTCATATTACAAGGAATGTACTAGCCGTTGGAAACTTAACGCCTTTATAAGCACGAAAAAAGCCCCTGAAGCTCAACTAGAAGAATAATTTATAACAGTGTATGATTGATAATTGCATACTATGTTTTTCAGGAAACGGTTTACTTCTTCGTCCCATGTAAGAAAAAAGTTACAGTGTCGACATTAAGGGATTGTTCAGCATCAGATGCCACAGATGAGATCATTCTTGAAGCTGGTGTACGGTAATGCGGTTTCATTTACCCGCTCGAAGAAGTAAAATGAACAGGATTTTGAAACAATGTGACGATAATGATCAAACTTAATGGAAAAACTTGCTGGTTTTGCTTTTGTATTTTCATCGCGCGACCTCAATCCTTTGACTACCGAGGTGATATCGGCCGTTGCCGACCTTCGATATTAATGAAAGTGAAAGCGTTTTTGAATATTAAAGAACAAGAAGGGAGGATGCGGACGCTAAGAATGCATTGCTTAAGCGAGGTGAGGATTTTGATTATGTAGTCAGTGCGTCTGAATAAGCTGAAACGAAACGTTTTTCATATTGGAACGATTGCAAAATGCCAACAGTTGTTGCACTGTGATAACTAGTGTGATTTCCGTAAGATTTACAATTACCTCTCACTAAAGCAAATGTTCAACATTTTTTACCTGTGATTTCACCAAACACATTTAATAGAAAATTAATATAAAGAAAATATATAGGTTGCAGTCGTTCAGGTTAAATCACGTCCGGTTTCTGAAACGCAATTTATTTTTACAGCCAATAGTTTCTTCCGATGAGTAATCACTGCGTAAATTATCGACGGTCGCTTATGCATGATTCACACAGTCATCTGGCATTACTCGGGCAGCGCTCACACGTCTTTCACGTCTATCCTGGCCATAGTGCTACCCATGATGAACAGTACAATGTATTCATACTTTTAAGCGATTCTTCTTAAGAGTTTCTTTCGGCACCAATACCAATTAACAAAACTTCAAACAAAACAATAATTCATAAATAAATACAAAGAAAATTTATGTTTAATGAGTGTTTGGAAATCGGTTGAAAAACTGCTCATTTTTGAATCCTTAATTTCTCCGTCTAAAATCGTTTTGTTTGAGAAGTAGTATCAGGCATTCGACAGAGTGTTTCATCACCAGATGAAACACCTCGAAGTTCGTCAAAAATACTACGCTAGCTGAGCGTCGTAAATTCAACTCTCTTCTCAGTGTTTCATCTGGTGATGAAACACTGCGTCTCATGCATGTTTGATATATTACCTGACAATCGGTAGTCAGGCAGTTGAAAAAACCCATCGAGCAGCCTTAACTAGTTACTTAAGTAATTTGCAATTCATATTCTGATACAAACGAATCATTTGTTTTGGAAGAAATAGTGGCATAGAGTTTTGCAGACTCTTCAGTACGCAATGGCTTAATACTTTGCGTGATCATGGGTGTCATAATAATTTAATGTTTTGAAGTATCAACATCAAACTCTTCTTTACGTTTTGGGTTTTTAATTACTTTGGTAATAATTTTAGCTTCTAAGGATTCTTCTGAATGTCATGATCTGCTGAACACATCTCTTAACAAGGAAATAGTTCGGCAATATTTTTGATAATCAAGGAAGAATAAGAGCTTACAACACCAAGGTCCGAACAGGAAGGATTAACTTATGTCACGACAAAAAAAATCACGGCAAAGAAAGTATGACACGCCTTGTTGTTGCCAATTAAAAAGACTCGTAGACACATCGGAATGTTCGTTTAGGGCCTCGCCGAGGATAAGTTACAATTATGCAAAAATGACAAGAGTAATTCGGTGGATTCGATCACGCCGCGAAGCTTACAGGGAGGCTACAGCTTAACGGCAATCTAGTCAACTGACGTTTACATTTTTCGCTGTTAACATCGGCTACTGAATTTTCTTTACAAAAAGGAGAAATAGGTTATATAACAAGGCATACTTTGGCCATCTGTCGCCTTATTTGTTTTTGTTTTGCTGAATGTAAAGCCAGAAAAGTTCAAGAAGGATAAATTGACAGTTTATTTTGTAAGGTAACTTAGAGGGCAGTGATTTAGAGAAAATCTTTCAACACTACACCATGAATGCTCACACTCACTGGGTAGACACTACGTGCTCGTGATTGCAGATTAAAAGAGCTGGCTATCGCGCCAGCTAACAGCACCAAGATAGTCGTGTTTGATCAGACTGTCCGCGTTATAAGTTATTGTGTTATTGCTTGACTGAATGTGCATCTATTCGGGTTGACGGAATGAAATAACTCTTTAGAGTATATAATTATCTTCAGCAATTAGTTGAATCTCAATCCATGCTTACCTTATATGATACCAGGTATGATACACGAAGAATACCTCCCGGGTGAAATCTCCAGTAGCACAAAGTAAACGTCCTCGGTTTAGTCAATTGCCTGACAACTGTCGTCATGCTCAGTAACAAAACCCCAGTTTATACGCCTGAGCTATTGTCTTTCTTTTCACCTTGATGCCTGAGGCTATAAAAGGTGGTTTGAGGTTGTTTCAAGAGTCAAGCGAGAGGGTCGCAAGAACTTGATGAGTTTTACACCCGCTCATTGCAATTTACCTATTTTTTAAATGATCAATACAGTAGACTTCTGATTTCATGAAACAAAATATCGTCCGGTACAACAGGGCTATGTATTGTCACAATTTGTTATAATCATGGCACTTTTTAATACCTGCCACAATTTGCTATATTTAATAATCGTCGCACTTTGCAATACCTGTCGCAATTTTTAATAATCATAGCACTTTTCAGTATTACCTGTCGCAATTTGTTATAATCATCGCACTTTGTAATACCTGTCGCAATTCGTAATATGTACGTGATTCATATTTACAAAGATAGCTTAGCCCACAAATGGCACAAGCTAATCGAGGCGGGCCAAAAAGCGAAATTAATAATATAAGTTAGACTAAAAAAAGTAGTGATGAAAAATTACAATGATAATAAATAAAGGACATAAGGCTATTATTATAAAAATACTGGATATCTACATATTAAGAGACTATAACACTCTTAGCTAATTAAAAGGCAAAAAGGAGTAAAAAGTGAAAATAACAAAGGACTGATTATAGTTCAGAGGCTTTAGGTCATTAATCATATGTTCTGAAGTAAAATAACTGTCACAATTACTTAACCCAGTCAATAATAGAATTTTGAATTGTTTGCCAAACGTTTACTTATTAAGGACTTCTAGAAAGGTGGAATTGCGTTCCATAACCTACAGTGGCAGCAAATCTACTAAGGGAATTTTTCAGGAAATTGGTTCTGGAAAATTGTACTTAAAAGTCATTATTTACTGAAGATCTGGCCCTAGTTGTTTAAAAGGTGGATAACGCTATTCACTGGATAGCGCAATTGGTTTCCCTACTATTTATCCACTGGATAGTGATTTATCCCTTGGTTTGATAGGAGTGAACATTGGACGTATTATTAAATAAATACAAAATGCTGCCAGGTGCGGTTTTTGATGAAACAACATCTAACATAAGTTTAGAAACATTATGAACGTGGAGTAAATCAACGGTCAAAACGTCAGAGTTTACAAATAAAGGAATGACATGGCTATCTTTACGGGTAAAGAAAATTAGGTGTAAGGCTTCGTGCAAACGGACGCAACAACTCCCAACATTGTTGACACATTGTTGAGTGCGTGTTGGCAGTGGTGTGCAAACGGATGCAACAACTCCCAACAATTCTGGGACCTGCAGTGCATCGTGGGAAGGATTCTTCCCATAAGTCTTTTTAAACCATGCGTAATGAGCGTGTGTGGCCCTAACAATGTTGGAAGAGCTGTGCAAACGGATCCAACATTGTTGCGCTACGCTTCGGCGATCACGGAACAAAAGAAATGTTAGGAGTTGTTGGCTGAAAAGTTTGACCGGTTCCAAACTTTGCGCAACAACACGTAACAACATGCAACAGGGTGTGTAAACGGACGCAACATGTAACATCCAACAATGTTGGGAGTTGTTAGCCAACAATGTTGCGTCCGTTTGCACAGGGCTTAAGGCTTTTCTTGCAATTTTAGGAATATATGTAAGTGGGTTTTGCAAGCCTGTCCCCAAGCACAGTTATCATTGTTTAAATACGGCTAAATTAGAGACCGATTAAAAGCGACGGTCAGGAAATATCGACCATCGAGTGGCAAGAGCTGAAAAATCGATTGCCTTCATTTTTTGTCCATAAATAGCGTTTAGGTAGATAAGTAATCTGATGTAAGTTGTTCTCGCAAAAAGCCTTTTATTTTCGAGAAAAGTAAGAATATCTGTTTTCGTGGTCGGAGTCTCAAAATGGCCGTATTTTCAACCCGAAATTTGCTAACATCAACTCTCCTCGCGTACTTTACTAATCCGGATTCTACAATAAACGACAAGTTCAATACTAAAATATGACTTACCTGATACCGTCAAGTCATCAAATATTGTTAGAGGTCTTCGATTCGTAAGAATCCGACTACTCCTTAGCAGCCTGTCGATTATTTCTACCTCAGGTTTTGAAAAGTTTGAGCCATTCACCTGTCTACCTAAAGTTTACAGTGTTTACAACAATATGCTGCTAAAATTGATCGCTTCCAAGACTTAAAAAGACCAAATGGGCCGTGCCAAGAAAACCACTTTTTTGCCAAGAAAACGACACAAGATCTGGCAGGGCGCTTCGCCTGCCGTCTGTACCCTTCCCATGGTCCCTTGCGGCTCATCACCAGTCGCTCGCCTCTACCTTGCGAAAAACGAAGCGCCTGAGGAGGAGGCTGTTGTGGGTGCTTTTGAGTTTACTGTTCTTCAAAAAAATTTGAAAGAATAGCACGAGAGGCCATTGTCATATGTTTGCGAGTGTTAAAGGAAAGCAACAAAAATAGGTTCGACAGCTACAGTCGTCAGGAACAGTGTATTGGTCATATCCCATATTGCCATTCCGGGATTGTGGCGTGCACATTTTTTTCCGACAACCTTTCTCGAAATAGCTGTATGTGTAAGCTGAAATACACACCCTTAAGGTAGATGGCAAAACATATGATTTCCGTTTCTTTTATAAGGAGCCCACCCCGGTGAAATATTGGTGTGGCGCCAATGAAACAGTTTCGGATTCAGTTCCGTGTGTCTATTGTCCTAACTAATCACACAAAAAATGTGTCGGAATCTTTTGTGAAAACGCAAACCAAATGTTTGTGAATTTAGTTATCAGAGCTAATCCACATAAAAAAGGGAAATGATTATAGTTTTAGAGAAAATTGTCCCAAATTTTTGCAACGGAATACTCAAAAAAGATATTGCTTGAAACGTGTGATGCTGGTACCCACATTTAAATGGAACTTTAAATGGCGTACAACAATCGGTAGACCCCTAGCCTTTTTCATAAACTTTTGAGTTTCCAGTAGCATTAAATGAAAACAACTAGCCTTTAAGCATTGATTTCTGTCCACACTGGGGCGAGAGATAACCTCTTCCAATAAAGGTAACGGTTCTAAGTTTTTTGGTCAAACAAAGTACAGTGAAGTAGTCCGGGGTGTTAATTTTTAGAGAAAACGCAAAAAAACTTTCGGTCAAATCTCGTAGTCGTTCTCGTCCTTGAGTCTAAAGGTCTCTATTAGGGCCATTTATAGGTGGGAAAATAAGTCGCCTCCTACACTTCCTATCTAAGAACAGCCTGTAACGCCTATTCCTAGTAAGATATGTCTTAGTTAAGACGAAAAAAAGACCCCCGCGCCTGTACAATACGGGAATCATCACAAGTACGCATGCGTTATTTGATTTTGCACCATGTTGGATTACCCATTCACACCAAAACATATCTGGTTCATAATTTTAATTTCAGAGATAACTGAAACATTTTAATGCTCTTTCAATATTTCGATGTTTTACATTATTAGTTTCATCAGATAGTGATAAGCATATGAAACAAGGATTCGCCTATTATTTCTCTGTAAAAGGCCCTATGTCTCCTAATATGTCCAGGTTTTAAGACTGATAGCGAAGATGCGCAGTCTGATGTTAGCCATCACAAGATGACAACATGAATAAAAGGTCACCGACATCAAATAAATCAATTCAAACATTAGATATTTTTTTAGGTGTTAATAATAAGGAGTAAGTTCATAATTTAAATAGATTGTAACAGTGACTAATTTTTATTCTTTTTTCAGTTTCTACGCAATAACGTGGTTAAATGTTAGAATAAGCCTTAAATTCTGCAGCCCCTCGGTTCAACTAAAATTTCATAACTTGAACCAAAGCTTTCACAGAACAGTCATTTTCTATTTTTGAAGTGTATCCAAGGAGAAAAGAAGATTAAGTATCGCATCGCAGTTTACACTTGTAGGGGTCCGAGCAAAAATGGGGTCTTAGGACACAATCATGGTCCCTTTATATATCAGTTGTTTTAAGTAAAAACAGCGATTTCGACCAACGTTTGTTTCATTCCCGATAGAGAATTGCGAAGGGCTTGAGACCGTCCTCTGTTTCCAGGTATATCGCACTAAAGAGGCAAAGTTTGGATGTAGAACGAGTTTTTACTTAAGCTCTTTAGTTCTTGCCCTTTCTAATTCCGTTGACTTTTCCAACCACTCTTCAGTTTTAGCACCCTCTGTTGGTACTTCCGCATTTTCTCCTCCTCATGCTCCTTAAAGGTTGTGGATGTTGCTTTTGCCTGATTACACTTGGAGTTAACATGCGTTACTCTGACATCCAAAAATGCTGTAACTCCACGAGACCAAAATCCCGCTGCCTTCAAGTCCAGACTTGCCTCCGGGCTTGCTACCGCGCTTCTGAGGTTGAATCGCTCGTTATCGAGAGGTTGTAGCTGTGGTTCGACTTCAACGTTGGTGCAAACCTTTCCAATAAGTGAGGTAAGTAGGTTGCAAACACCATCGTGTCTCTGCGTTGCGAACCCTCCCTTTTTGCATGACAGGGCATGGAAGACGGTATACTTCTCACCACAAACACACTTGCTTGGTAAGTCGGACAGGGGCATAATATTATACCTTAAACGCAGCGAGTCGTTGCATTCTTGTTTATTCAGCACTAAGCCTTGATCGACAAGAGGCACTCCGGTAAGTCATGAGCTCGCTCCATTGTCTCTCGATTGGTTAACTGACCGAAGCAGATCCAAGGGTGGAGTGGACTCAATACTTTCCGTTCTCGATTTTACCGACGCAGTTTTCAAGGCTCGATTTCGTCTTTTTAACTCCTCCGTGGAATTCTTGCCTGTCTCCGGCCATGAACATGCTCTGTGTGGTAATAGAATCTACGTCCGGTGCTGCTATTGACGTAGAAGCAGCAAACTGCTGTGGAGCTTCAAACCGTAACTCGGGTACGCCTAGCACTCCTTGAGCGGGTGTCAAAGTAACGAGCTGAAGCAGATCACTAGGGGGTCCGTTTGACCGAATAGTGTTGGGAGAAGTAAGTCGTCGATCGCCTCTTGGATTAGGTGAATGTAATCTTCAAACGACTCTATTGTGCGCATGAAATAGGTAAACTTGGATTTGTAACCCTTCGTGAAAACAGACAATTCTAGGCTGCATGGGGCTGGCTCCTTGCTATCTCAGACAGTGCTTCGACTTTTTCCCGACAATACTGATCTTTGAACTCTTGAGATCCGATGACGGCCCCTAAGTGGCGCTGACCTTCAGTTGTAATATTGACCTTATCTCCAAACACCCTATTTGCCTCATCTGCAAGTTCTTCCAACTTGACAATCAGCCAGCTCTTTGATCCATTCACTATGATAACCATACTTCTTTCCTTCCTGACTCAAGTGATACCCCCGCGCGCAGAGTCGTCGGTTAGCCATACTTTTCTAACACCTGGCGTGCGTGTCCTTAAGCTCTGGATCATGATTGATGTATTGACCGAATACCAGGGCATGGCCAAGGGATCCCCCTGCGTCGTACCCTCCTGTGATAATATCTCACCTCCACCGCAAATAAAGAGCCTCTAGGGGCTTCTGTAGGTGTTAAATAAAAAAAATGATGTAAAGTAACATTTCCTTGCAGGTTATCTGGATGTTATGCAAGGCGACGGATCTGTTCATTTGGTTAAAGGCGTTGCTTGTATCTATCAGTAAAATACCATCTGTTCCTTCCTCTACGAACACTTAACTCATAGCATGTATCGCTGCCTCTGAGCCTGCGTTATGGCCTGCGCAACCTGAATGGGGCCCGCTGCTTCTTTGATCTCTTCCTTCAAAAATCTTGCAATAGTTTTTCCAACTATTCGCCTCAGGACCTCACCAACGCCAATAGGTCGTATTCCAGAGTTTTTGTCCAAGGGGATGAGTCTGCAGGAGGTATAGCCTTCCAGCAAAGATGGATGGTAAGAGATCTTTAACAAATTTCTTGTGAAAATGACTATCTCCTCTCTAGAAGCCTTGCCCTCAACCTTGAAATTCTTGAAGCAAAGGATTCTTCGGTATAGCTCGGCATCCATTCCCGACAGCCTGGCTGAGCCCTTTGTTGTGGTTGCAGCATCAAAGATTATTTTCTCGTCGATCAAGTCAAAAACGCCAGGAGGAATGTAATCAATGGGCCTGTATAATAAACTTTCATCCGCGATATCAGCAGTAGTACAGGTCTCTTTACGCACTATTGTTATGCAAATGAGGTTGGTCGCCATACAAAGCCTTCTAAATTTTGGAGTGATGACGGTATACAGCGGACACCCTAAAGGCAACATCTGTAACTAAGAACGCTAGTTGTTGCTAAGGAAAAGGCGATGAAGAAATTTTGGGCGGAGGGTCTTACCCTAATGAGTCGAAGGCATTTTTCTAACCCTAATAAGTCGAGGGCAGTTTTTAATCCTAACAATCGAAGGCATTTTTCTAACCCTAATCAGTCGAGGGCAGTGTTTAACCCTAACAAATCGAAGGCATTTTCCTAACCCTAATCAGTCGAGGGCCGTGTTGAGCGCTACATCGGTCGAGTTCAATGTCTCAACCTAACAATCAGTAGAGTCCAAGGTCCAATCTCTAGGGTCATGAAAACTTGCACGTTTTCACACAAGGATTTGCTGACTCGGCAGAATTTGTTTCTATTTTTAGATCATGACGTCATTCTTTTGACTAGAGTCGGTATAAAAGACCGCTAGCAACTCTCATTTTTTCATTCAACCCCACATCATTTGGAGTGAGCGGAACTCATCCATAATGGTTTTTACTTATCCAAGACCATACCCTACCTGCGGAAAGAAACTCAAGAATAGAAGTTCCTATCCACGTCATAGGAAATATTGCGGGAAGACAACAGTCCCTATTCCATGCCCGTATTGTGAATCAACTTTTAAAAGAAAAGATGATCTGTCAAAACATAACAAACACTTCCATTCTGAAAAAGCTAAGAGAAAAGCAGAAGAAAGCAGTGAATTAGCGAGGATGGAGTTATTACATGCAGACAAAGTACCCCATTTATCAATTGAAAGTCAGACGGGTGGGGCTGTGACTACTAGACGCATGAAAAAAGACCTTGACAGTGAGAAGAAGGACCTAAACCCTGTGAAAAAAGAAGAGCCACAGGCAGTCAAAAGAAAATTAGACGATGAAGATGATGTTGATATGTCTCACCTCATGGACGACGACCTGGATGATTTTTTGGGAGAGAGAGCCAACCGTTTGGAACTGTCTGAGAATCCTTTGTTCAAAGCCAATCTCACGTTTCTACCATACAAACGGCAAGGTTTAAAGGGAGCAGTCAAAAAAGAGCAATTTTCCGTCACGTTTGATCAGCTACGTAAAGCCACCGAAGAGGAATCTTTGGGAGATGGGTTGTCGGAGTCCCTCTTTGAAGCGGTAAGAGATATTATCTTAAAGGAAAAATTGCCGGATTCAACTAAAGTCCATCTCACTTTAACCTCAAAGGAACATTCCAATGGCACTGTGAATTCAGGATTTTTATCTCACGTAAAATATGGGATTCCCGTCAAAGAGTTCGTGAAACGTGGCGATTATGTTCATGCTATCACAGCATGAAAAATCAAATTTACGTGAGCGTAATGACAACGTAAAGTCAGCGTATAGTTGAACTTTACACAACTTTACGCTTCCTTTACCCTACGTAAAGTTCAGCTTTACAGCACCTTTACGCGTACATATAAAGCTGGCGTAATGAAACAAAAACTTTACGCAACACCTTTACGTTTTGCGTAAAGCTTGTGTAAACCCTACTTTAAGCTTGTGTAAAGCGAAAATACAAGCTCCTTTACGCCATATATATATATACACATAAACACACTGGAAACTTTAAAAATAAAGGGAAATATAATGGTAATCGGTAAATTTTTCTTACCAAACTTTTAACAATCAAAATTTTATTTTTGTCCATGTCACACAAACATTGGATTTTTGTTATGTACTTAATAACGGTTATTTTCTTTGGTTCCCCATCATCTCTCCATAGTATTTACAATCTGGAGCCATGGAGGATTACTCATATATACATTACAAATAATTGTATGAGTAATCCTCAATTCAAGTTTCGACACAAAATAAAATACCCTAATATGTAACAACACTTCAACACACAGTTAAAGGATTAGGCCAGAAATTTTGTTTTTATTCTTCAAAACTGACAACAAAAACGAAAAGTTATAAAGCGTTGAGAACCCAATAGACCTATAGAAAAATAAGAACCCAACTTCAAACTGACATTAGTCATCCCTACTATTAAGTTATATATAACTTGCTTTAATGGAGTTATATTGTTTAACCAGTAGATGAACTTTGAATAAGTAGTAGTTTAAAAAATAGGGCCCCTTTCCGTTCCAATTTTGCATTACCATAACCAATTTTCAAATTGCCTATCTTTATTTTTACATTTCAAATCCCATGAAAATCGCCAGGTATGCTACATTGTTGTAACTGCAAAAGCTGCAAATACGAATCGCATTCTTTAAGTTTAGTCCCGCAAAGAGTGATATTACAAGGTTTTAAAAAACAAAACACACTGATTCTCTAAAACTGAATTTTCTAAATATAACATGATTTATTTCTGTGTTAGCATCTTTGTCATTACATTAAAAAATAAAAAAATAAAAACGAAAATTTTTCCAACACGTAAGGTTTAAATAAGAAGATACAGTGTACATAAACTTTTCAAATGGGTCAAAACAGTCTTCTCAAAATATCCAAAAAAAATCATCTTAACTTAGTATTATACCAAATTAAGATGATTTATAGTCTGAAATAATTATTAGCATTTACATGTAAGGTACAGGGTGTACAAGAAAACTGGTGAAGTTAAATTTTGATAAAAAACCAGCAACTCTAACACGCAAATTCATGTAAAGGTGGGTCAAAATGGTCTCTTCCAAAATGAAAATATTTAGTATAATTTAGCATAATTCAAATTAAAAGCTTAAACAATTTTAGATAAGAAATAAAAAGACTGAAAGCCTAATGCATGTATAACATTGATGGTTTCTTGATTTAGCCTTTTCACTCCCAGAAGTGTTTACAGTCAAACTTAACAACAAAATCCAAATAACAAATCATTTTCATAAACTGATGATGTAAAAGTTAGATGCACAAGGCTGTCACTAAGATTGCAAGTTGCAGGGTTTAAGTGAAATTAGTGAGCGGGACATTGAAAATGTGGAAAGTTTCGTTTCCTCTCAAAACAGCCAAGTATTGGGCTCAAAGGAGCCAATTTAAAGTCTGGTTTATGGCCCTTAGTGACAGCCCTAGAACCACTTTACAAGACTAAGGCTTGTAATTAACATGTATTAATCCTGTTTGCTTTGAGCGGACTTTCTGTCACCAACATCCCATACCAGGCTGATCTGCTGAATAAATAGAAAGCAAGTATTATTTGAGTAAACTACACAGATTATTTGTAGGCTAGTGATAATACACTTAATCGCGCACTAAAGGCACAAGTACATGTACAGTAAGGGGGTGTTGACATGAGAAAACTCACACCGGCGCGAGTCTCATACCGGGATGACTTTTTGATTTTGTATCGGGTTTACATTATGACTGAGTCATTTCATATCTCGTTATTTGAAGGTACACTTTATGTTGATAAAATACAAGTGTGATACAAAATAGCAAACATTACGCGTGCGCTACCCATTCCAGTCTACCGCCAGACCGATTTCATGCCGAAACGGGTGGTCGTTTCGCATTTACATGATACTGCCATGAGATTTTGTACCAGAGTGAGATTCTCGCCCCGGTACAAGAACCGGGGTGAACTCGCGCTGGGGTGACTCGCGCCTGCATGACATTTTGTGGTGGTATCATGTAAACAAATATAGAGCTATGAGAGGGAACCGGAGTGAACTCGCTCCGGGGCAAAAGTTGCCCCGGTGTCATGTAAACACCCCCTAAGTTGCCAGAGGACACCGCCTGCTATTACTAATTAATAATATTTTTTCCTACACTCATGGCCAAATTACTACAATCAGCACAATTTTACTTGACACAGGGTTCCCCACATGCCTCTTTTCACAAACCAAGACTAAAAATTGGAAAAAAATGATAAGGCATTTTCCACAAGTGGTCTAATAACAGTGCAAAACCTGAGTAGCAAATGATTTCAATGTCCACAAATTCACACAACTGAATAAGATTCATCTGACTGTTAAAGATTCAAAATGTTTGACTAGTATGAGTTAAAGGCTTTCCTTAAAGGCAATAATATTTACATTCAGAACCCTACTTGCAGTTGAGTGAAAATCAGGGTAAAATGCTACATGGAAACCCTATAATAATAATAATAATAATAATAATAATAGTAATGAACTTTATTAAAGTCTCATGTCTTGTAACACAGGCACAGTGCCTTACTAGTTGGGGAGACTGAAGCATATATATATGTTAAATTTATTAACAATGGTTTATTATATTATTAGAGTTCAATGTTTTACAATGTATATCTTTTTTTTATTTTAATGTATGCATTTTTATAAAAGAATCATCCATTAATATCGTTGTAAAAAGCTATGAAAAACTACTGGATGTACATTATTATTATTATTAGAGAGTAAGCAGTGCGCAAAGAAAGTAGTGTCCGATAGCCCGGGGCTAGTGGATTTTGCTATTGAGCTAGTGAATTTTGAACTTAACTTGCCTGATGGGCAAGTGAAGTTTTTTTGAGGAATTCAAATTAACGAAGAACTGTGAAATCGATTCTGCTCATCAAAACGGTTTGGGGGCTAGTTGAAATGACATTTGGGCTAGTATATGCTAGCTTCAGCTTGCCCGAATGGCAAGCTTTAAAAGTCACCTTCTTTGCACCCTGGTAAGAGAGAAATTTTCCTATCCATTTGTCCTTCACACAAGCAATACATTAAATTTGGTTGTCCGAGACCTAGAGTTCTTGTCCAAAAAGTTTAGCTTGCAACGGGCATTTAATGTTTTTAATGACATTATTTAATCACATTATTACCCTTGTATATTATTTTTGAATTAAACCTACAACAGAGCTTGTAAAAAAGCAAATGGATGAAACGACTGGCAGTGGAATGGCAAAGTTAAATGGAATATTGTTTCTTATCTTTATTTTTCTAATTAAAAATGTGCTTGTCCCACGGACAAGTCATATCAAAGGTTTACATGTTCGAACTAAATTTCTACCTGTCCCGGACTAAAGTTCCAAATCAATAAACATCCCTAGCCTTCTCATGAGCTCCACCAAAGACTTTCAGGGAAAATATAGAAACATATAAGCACCATATTCCCAAAAGTTTCAAATTTTCCTGAAACTTTACCTAATATATTTTTTTCCTTTTTAATACGAAACGTTCAAGGTTCCTAGTTAATGTAACAGGAGTGAAGCCACTTTGCTATTTAAAGCCCTTATCCTCAATCTTGAAAACAATGCCTCCTAATAATAATGTACAGTGTACCCTGTAAATAAAGCGGGAGAGTTGAAAAAACTGACCCCCACTCCGCGGACTACCCACTGACCCCACTCCGCGGACTACTCTACGGACTACTCCGCGGACTACTCTACGGACTAGTCCGCGGACTACCCTGCGGACTACCCTAACTAATCAACCAAATTTACTTTCACGGAGAAAAGAGTTAGAAGAAGCGTACCTGCCTACAAGATCACACTTGATAAACAGCCGCCATCTTGATTTTCGCCATTTTACTCGACCCAGCACAGGTAACCCAGGCTCTGTGATAGTACTACAGTGCGGTTCCAGTAAAATTACAGTGTTTGTATGGGGTAAAAATATCATCCTAAAATTTCTAGGAAATACTAAATAAAGATCAATGAAACTTACTTTGCAGTTAATTGTTGTTGTCCTTATTGCTCCAACGAGGTTTCGTGATAATTTGTAGTAATTTGTTCAAATTCACTCTATCTACAATAATAATATACAAGGTAGGAAACACGAGGTGCCATTTTCGCCGACATGCTCTCATTCAACACAACTTTTTCCACGAAATTCGAACTCCAACGGAAAATAAACATGCCAGGATCGTAGAAATAGGATAGTAGCAGATATAGAAACCAATGAAGCTTTCCCAGATAGAGAAACGAATCCCACAGACTTGGACAAACTCGAAGAATATAATCCAAACACACCGAGAATACGCTCGCCGAAGCAGCCGGGCCAGATCAACGCGCGGCCAAGAAAATGAAGCCTGGGCACTGTACAAAAAAATTCCATCCCGGGGGTCCTGGGGTGACCTTTCTAGGGACCGATACATCATTTGCCCAAAGCCACCCTCCCCTGCTGGAAAAATACTTGATAGAAGGCAATTGTTCTTCCTAGCCAATCACTATGGCCTGTTATAAAGAGATTATTTTCCTCTCGAACTATATTCAGCTCCTGGCGCTGGTCCTCAGAAAGTTTATCAAACATCAATAGGGCAAGGTTATAAGGGCAAAGGAAAGAACAACGAAGGACGATTTACAAAACTTGAAAACGAGCAAAAGATATAAGTGAATTTTGGCTCTTACCGAGGCATTTGTACAACAGGACCAAATTCAAAGAGAGGTGTATCACGATGATTCACATATTTAACCGATAGAGCGTTCACTTGTATTGACAAGAAGTCGGCGTGTTACTGCTGCATTAATCGCTAAATATGTTAATCGCGCTAGTTCTTTGTTTACTAGTGCACGTGCCTTTCGCATTCGTCTCAGTTATCGCAATTCATATTCTGTCGCAATTTTCTGTATAATTTTTGACATTAGTTTGTAAGCTTCACCGTTTATTTACGATAGTTTCGCTCGAGAGTTCACAGCAACAGTATCTCAGTCATCATCTACCTTTTGTTCAACCTTGTTTTTAGCCCGCCTTGTAAGCATTTCGCGTTGTTATTTCATTAGTTTCATTACCGTTATTTGCATTCCTTAGTAAAAGAAATGGGACGCCTTGTAACTCCGCAGACTCTCCTGATATATCATTTTTTTTTAGCCATTTAAATTCAGGCGCGTGTGCGGGGTTTGCTCTGGCAAATGGTGATTGGCTAGGAAGAACAATTGCCTTCTATCAAGTATTTTTCCAGCAGGGGAGGGTGGCTTTGGGCAAATGATGTATCGGTCCCTAGAAAGGTCACCCCAGGATCGCCGGGATGGAATATTTTTGTACAGTGCCCAGGCCTCATTTTCTTGGCCGCGCGTTGATCTGGCCCGGCTGCTTCGGCGAGCGTATTCTCGGTGTGTTTGGATTATATTCTTCGAGTTTGTCCAAGTCTGTTGGATTCGTTTCTCCATCTGGGAAAGCTTCATTGGTTTCTATATCTGCTGCTATCCTATTTCTACGATCCTGGCATGTTTATTTTCCGTTGGAGTTCGAATTTCGTGGAAAAAAGTTGTGTTGAATGAGAGCATGTCGGCGAAAATGGCACCTCGTGTTTCCTACCTTGTATATTATTATTGTAGATAGAGTGAATTTGAACAAATTACTGCAAATTATCACGAAACTTCGTTGGAGCAATAAGGACAACAACAATTAACTGCAGAGTAAGTTTCATTGATCTTTATTTAGTATTTCCTAGAAATTTTAGGATGATATTTTTACCCCATACAAACACTGTAATTTTACTGGAACCGTACTGTGGTACTATCACAGAGCCTGGGTTACCTGTGGACCCAGCTCTCCTTTAGCTTCGCCCCAGTCTTCATCGGCCACAAGTCAGAGCACGCCGTTCAGCAATGGATGACCGGTAATTGTGTGTTGAATATTCATCCCTTTTAATTTGTTTCAATTGTTTGCCTGAGAAAATGCAAGGGGTGACAGGCCGCACATCTATACCGGCGTGAAACCTTGTGTAAACCTTTTATATTCTAATTCGCTACCCCGCTCAAACGAATATAAAACATTTATCATGTAACAAGCAACCTCAACTGGGGTGTGTCAACAAGCGCCGTGTGCGACCCTCTTTATTATGCCTTCATCAACAGAATGGATGGAAATAATACAACAAACAGAATGAAAACTCGGAAATGTAAAAAATTACAGCAAGAAGAACAACCCTACAAAATGATCTAAACTATGCTCGTATAACAATGATTCAGTAAACATACAAAACGTGCTAAACCTTTCATATAGCAGCATGCAAAAAACTACGTCTAAGAGAAACCCCTGGTCACTGGGTATTTAATTTTGAGGGCGTAGGGACGGTCGTAAGACGCGAATGAATATATATGAGAACAACTCGAATATATATAGCCTACCGCTAATGAAGCAACAGAACAGCATACCATGTAACACCCCAAAGAAAAGGTTACATAACCCATGATAAATACATTTATATTTTAGCTCTAACGAGCATGTCCTTTAGGGATTTTCCTTTCTTGTAGGAAATGATAGGTGGTTCTTTAAAAATTTGGCGAAGTAACGGTTGGGTTTGTATAAGATTCCAGTTTTTCATTAAAACTTCTTTTAAAGTAGACACTGAGGGCTGGTACTGTGTCACGAAAGGCAATATTTCTTTTTCCTCTTTGTTGTTGTGTTTCAAGAGAGCAGACTCCCTCTCTGTGAACTTTATATCTGGTAGAAGGTTTTCTATCATAGTTTGTGGGTAGCCTCTGTCAATCAAGCGTATTTTGAAATTTGAAATATTTTCCTCAAACGTAGTTTTTGAGGAGTTTGTTCGTAGGATTCTCAAGGCTTCTCCTTTGACAAATCCTTTTTTAACACTCGGCGGGTGACAAGAGGTGAAATGTGTGTACTGGAAGGTTTCCGTTTTTTCAAAATGTGTCTTTACATCAAGGATAGATTTTTCCTTGAATCTTGTGCCTTTGTATACAATCGTGTCTAAAAACACAGTCTCAGTGTCAGATATTTCGGCCGTGAATTTGATAGTTGGGTGATTTAAGTTCGCTTGTTCGATGAAGGCTTCGAAGGTTTTAAAAATTTTAAAAATTAAAAATTATCAAGTGTGATCTTGTAGGCAGGTACGCTTCTTGTAACTCTTTTCTCCGTGAAAGTAAATTTGGTTGATTAGTTAGGGTAGTCCGCAGGGTAGTCCGCGGACTAGTCCGTAGAGTAGTCCGCGGAGTAGTCCGTAGAGTAGTCCGCGGAGTGGGGTCAGTGGGTAGTCCGCGGAGTGGGGGTCAGTTTTTTCAACTCTCCCAAATAAAGCAGCCTATTTTCTTTCCTTGCCACCAGGGACATTTCACAAGAGAGACAGTTGTATTTGCAGATTAATAATGGTGTATGTAGACAAGAGAATCCAAAACAGCTATGACTGCTATGACTCTCTTAACAGTCTTACCTTTCACAACTTGTTTCTTTAAATTTTATTTTCCTTTAAACCTAGATTTACTGACGATACAACTATGGTGCAAATAGAACAATTTCTGGTTTCTAACATGACTGTGTGCTTTGCTTCCCAAAAAGTAAGACATTCAATTTCCTGACAGTATGTGCTGCACTATATCCTCTCAAGAACCACAATATCATTTCATAGGAGCAGTGCACAATGAAGATTAAAATTAATGGTAATATATGAAATGAATCATACTTTGAACTGCAGATGAAGGTATGAAACTGTGAAGATGTTAACAACTACGTTGGCACTTACATGAAAATACATTCTAATTCAATCATGGTCTGCATTAGCTATGCATTGAAAGACTCATGAAAATGTCTATTCATTCTCTGTTCATTTAAGTTAAAACCCACGCAATTTAAAATCAAAAATAAACTTTTGTATCTGCTTCAAAAAATACATGCATGCTGTTAAATTATTCACCACTTATGATGCTATGACCACCCGGGGAATTGGGAAGCTTGGGTTTGTTATTGACTGACGCATGAAAATATAGAACCAGACTACGTAGATTATCTTTGCCTACTTGCAAATTCAACACTTGTTAACACTTTTCTATTCTGTTTATTAGTTCTTCTATAGTCTGTGAAAATTTTCATAAGAATCTTTGTATCACATTACATGTAAGCTTACTTTATACAGATGTCCTTTCTTAATTCCATTATTTTCTTTTAGTAATTCCCAGTACCAGTGACCAAACTCCTATTTTCCAGTACAAAACAAGGAAATTCTACTCCTTCAGACCCCCAAAGTCCTTACATGATTTTACATTATCATCTTCAACGTCATGGTCTCGTTGCTTGCTTAGTATTGAAAGGTTATGCCAAATAAATACACATGTTTAGTTATAATTTACTTTAAACGGTTAATGCTGGTTTCATTGCTCACTGAAATGTTAGTTACTGAGTACTTGAGACAGTCATTCGAACTCGTCATAAACAAGTTGGAATTAAGCTTAAAAAGTTAGAGAAAAGGCGAGCCAGGACAACTTACCTTGCCTTACTATCTGCTCTTTTCAGCGAGATCTTGAGTATCGAAGAGCCTTAGTAATACGTGTAATACAGTCTTAGTCTGTGATGGGTATGCACTACATGCATGGTAGCACACCATATAGTCGTGCAACATAAATCAAATGAACACTGTGTATAACGTCTTGTAAGTAGTACGCATTTCTCAAAACTCCTCTTTTCTGTACTTTCTACTCCTCGCTTGTCTCTTGTGTCCTTTTATGTCCTTTTATGTACTTAGTAGTCCATTTCTGTCCTCATTAGTCCTTTTCTGTCCTTACAAGTCCTTTTGTGCCCTTTTCCGTCCTTTTCTGTCCTTGTTAGTCCTTTTCTGTCCTTACTAATCCTTTCCCGTCCTTTTACGTCCTTACTAGTCCTTTTATGTCCTTATTAGTCCTTTTGTGTCCTTACTAATCCTTTCCCGTCCTTTTACGTCCTTATTAGTCCTTTTATGTCCTTATTAGTCCTTTTGTGTCCTTACTAATCCTTTTGTGTCCTTACTAATCCTTTCCGGTCCTTTTACGTCCTTATTAGTCCTTTTATGTCCTTATTAGTCCTTTTGTGTCCTTACTAGTCCTTTTGTGTCCTTACTAATCCTTTCCCGTCCTTTTACGTCCTTATTAGTCCTTTTATGTTCTTATTAGTCCTTTTGTGTCCTTACTAATCCTTTCCCGTCCTTTTACGTCTTTATTAGTCCTTTTATGTCCTTATTAGTCCTTTTACGTCCTTACTAGTCCTTTCCCGTCCTTTTACGTCCTTATTAGTCCTTTTATGTCCTTACTAATCCTTTCCCGTCCTTTTACGTCCTTATTAGTCCTTTTATGTCCTTATTAGTCCTTTTCTGTCCTTACTAATCCTTTCCCGTCCTTTTACGTCCTTACTAGTCCTTTTATGTCCTTATTAGTCCTTTTGTGTCCTTACTAATCCTTTCCCGTCCTTTTACGTCCTTATTAGTCCTTTTATGTCCTTACTAATCCTTTCCCGTCCTTTTACGTCCTTACTAGTCCTTTTACGTCCTTTTTAGTCCTTTTATGTCCTTACTAGTCCTTTTCTATCCTTACTAGTCCTTTTATGTCCTTTTACGTCCTTATTAGTCCTTTTGTGTCCTTACTAATCCTTTCCCGTCCTTTTACGTCCTTATTAGTCCTTTTATGTCCTTACTAATCCTTTCCCGTCCTTTTACGTCCTTACTAGTCCTTTTATGTCCTTATTAGTCCTTTTGTGTCCTTACTAATCCTTTCCCGTCCTTTTACGTCCTTATTAGTCCTTTTATGTCCTTATTAGTCCTTTTGCGTCCTTACTAGTCCTTTCCCGTCCTTTTACGTCCTTATTATTCCTTTTATGTCCTTACTAATCCTTTCCCGTCCTTTTACGTCCTTATTAGTCCGTTTATGTCCTTATTAGTCCTTTTCTGTCCTTACTAATCCTTTCCCGTCCTTTTACGTCCTTACTAGTCCTTTTATGTCCTTATTAGTCCTTTTGTGTCCTTACTAATCCTTTCCCGTCCTTTTACGTCCTTATTAGTCCTTTTATGTCCTTACTAATCCTTTCCCGTCCTTTTACGTCCTTACTAGTCCTTTTACGTCCTTTTTAGTCCTTTTATGTCCTTACTAGGCCTTTTCTATCCTTACTAGTCCTTTTATGTCCTTTTACGTCCTTATTAGTCCTTTTGTGTCCTTACTAATCCTTTCCCGTCCTTTTACGTCCTTATTAGTCCTTTTATGTCCTTACTAATCCTTTCCCGTCCTTTTACGTCCTTACTAGTCCTTTTATGTCCTTATTAGTCCTTTTGTGTCCTTACTAATCCTTTCCCGTCCTTTTACGTCCTTATTAGTCCTTTTATGTCCTTACTAATCCTTTCCCGTCCTTTTACGTCCTTACTAGTCCTTTTACGTCCTTTTTAGTCCTTTTATGTCCTTACTAGGCCTTTGCTATCCTTACTAGTCCTTTTATGTCCTTTTACGTCCTTATTAGTCCTTTTGTGTCCTTACTAATCCTTTCCCGTCCTTTTACGTCCTTTTTAGTCCTTTTATGTCCTTACTAGGCCTTTTCTATCCTTACTAGTCCTTTTATGTCCTTTTACGTCCTTATTAGTCCTTTTGTGTCCTTACTAGTCCTTTTCTGTCCTTACTAGTCCTTTTATGTCCTTTTACGTTCTTGTTAGTCCTTTTGTGTCCTTACTAATCCTTTTCCGTCCTTTACGTCCTTACTAGTCCTTTTATGTCCTTATTAGTCCTTTTGTGTCCTTACTAATCCTTTCCGGTCCTTTTATGTCCTTATTAGTCCTTTTATGTCCTTATTAGTCCTTTTGTGTCCTTACTAGTCCTTTTGTGTCCTTACTAATCCTTTCCCGTCCTTTTATGTCCTTATTAGTCCTTTTATGTCCTTATTAGTCCTTTTGTGTCCTTACTAATCCTTTCCCGTCCTTTTACGTCTTTATTAGTCCTTTTATGTCCTTATTAGTCCTTTTGCGTCCTTACTAGTCCTTTCCCGTCCTTTTACGTCCTTATTAGTCCTTTTATGTCCTTACTAATCCTTTCCCGTCCTTTTACGTCCTTATTAGTCCTTTTATGTCCTTATTAGTCCTTTTCTGTCCTTACTAATCCTTTCCCGTCCTTTTACGTCCTTACTAGTCCTTTTATGTCCTTATTAGTCCTTTTGTGTCCTTACTAATCCTTTCCCGTCCTTTTACGTCTTTCCTTTTACGTCTTTATTAGTCCTTTTATGTCCTTATTAGTCCTTTTGCGTCCTTACTAGTCCTTTCCCGTCCTTTTACGTCCTTATTATTCCTTTTATGTCCTTACTAATCCTTTCCCGTCCTTTTACGTCCTTATTAGTCCTTTTATGTCCTTATTAGTCCTTTTATGTCCTTACTAATCCTTTCCCGTCCTTTTACGTCCTTACTAGTCCTTTTACGTCCTTTTTAGTCCTTTTATGTCCTTACTAGGCCTTTTCTATCCTTACTAGTCCTTTTATGTCCTTTTACGTCCTTATTAGTCCTTTTGTGTCCTTACTAATCCTTTCCCGTCCTTTTACGTCCTTTTTAGTCCTTTTATGTCCTTACTAGGCCTTTTCTATCCTTACTAGTCCTTTTATGTCCTTTTACGTCCTTATTAGTCCTTTTGTGTCCTTACTAGTCCTTTTCTGTCCTTACTAGTCCTTTTATGTCCTTTTACGTTCTTATTAGTCCTTTTGTGTCCTTACTAATCCTTTCCCGTCCTTTTACGTCCTTTTTAGTCCTTTTACGTCCTTACTAGTCCTTTTCTGTCCTTACTAGTCCTTTTATGTCCTTTTACGTCCTTACTAATCCTTTTCTGTCCTTACTAGTAATTTTATGTCCTTACTAGTCCTTTTATGTCCTTTTACGTTCTTATTAGTCCTTTTGTGTCCTTACTAATCCTTTCCCGTCCTTTTACGTCCTTTTTAGTCCTTTTACGTCCTTACTAGTCCTTTTCTGTCCTTACTAGTCCTTTTATGTCCTTACTAGTCCTTTTATGTCCTTACTAGGCCTTTTCTATCCTTACTAGTCCTTTTATGTCCTTTTACGTCCTTACTAATCCTTTTCTGTCCTTACTAGTAATTTTATGTCCTTACTAGTCCTTTTCCGTCTTTTTACGTCCTTATTAGTCCTTTTCTGTCCTTACTAATCCTTTTCTGTCCTCATTAGTCCTTTTCTGTCCTTACTAGTCCTTCTGTGTCCTTTTCCGTCCTTTCTGTCCTTATTAGTCCTTTTCTGTCCTTACTAATCCTTTTCTGTCCTCATTAGTCCTTTTCTGTCCTTACTAGTCCTTCTGTGTCCTTTTCCGTCCTTTCTGTCCTTGTTAGTCCTTTTCTGTCCTTACTAATCCTTTTCCGTCTTTTTACGTCCTTATTAGTCCTTTTCTGTCCTTACTAATCCTTTTCTGTCCTCATTAGTCCTTTTCTGTCCTTACTAGTCCTTCTGTGTCCTTTTCCGTCCTTTCTGTCCTTATTAGTCCTTTTCTGTCCTTACTAATCCTTTTCCGTCCTTTTACGTCCTTACTAGTCCTTTTATGTCATTTTATGTCCTTATTAGTCCTTTTGTGTCCTTACTAGTCCTTTTGCGTCCTTACTAATCCTTTCCCGTCCTTTTACGTCCTTATTAGTCTTTTTCTATCCTTACTAGTCCTTTTATGTCCTTTTACGTCCTTAAGAGAAGACACCTGCTTTCGTTTCTAACCCTTTTGTAGGTTCTCATCACAACAGCTTTCTTAAAAGAATAAAAATTAGCTAAAGCAATGCTCAATGACCAAAGCGACGACTAATTGGTGTATTACAAAATAAATGGATCGATTTCAGTGATATTTGTCAATATGCCGATAACTAACGATTTCATAACCCCATAGTGTTTTTTCGGTAAAATTGGGAACTTATTGTTACTTTGTGCTGCAATCAGATTGCCATATATGAACAAACAATGCTGCGAAAACCGATGTCATGAACTTAGCTTAATATGGTTATGTCCTCTGAAATAAGACTAGGAGATCTTTCTTAAACGACTTCATTTCGTCAGACCTTACTAGTCATCGACCCGGTATTGTGGAGAGAGAACTTCGTCTTACTTTACTTACAGGTAACTGATCATTGCTTGACATCATATTCATTTTTTGTTCAGTCATATACTTTCAGTCTGACCTATTGTTCGTTCTTTTCATTGAAACTGCGCCATCGTGTTTTAATCGACAAATTCATTTCTTTGATGGAACAATTTTTCCGTAATATAAATTACTGAGGTACAATATCGTCACTCAGAATTGACTAAAACCTGATGTAGTGCAACCAAAAAACTAACGTTTTCATTTGTGTCTTTTTAAGGTTTACATCATGTCAGGAGATACAGTAGAACCCACAGCAAACGCCACAGTAACTGATGAAAGTGAATTTGAGGATATTCCTTCTTCGAAACTGATCGAGTTTGAAGGATCCATTGGTTTCAAAAAAGGGAACTCGTTTGTCTCGATGACAAATTTTAGCCTTGAGTGCGTTGGATACGTCAAAGGAGAGAGAAGAAACATTGATGTGCGACCTAAATCAGTAGATCCAAGTCATCAAGAAGAGCAAGCCTCGAGAGATAATGGGTAAGCTTGATAATGATTTTAAAATTAGACGCTTGGAAGTTCTTACCACAGTCTGTCGCCAGTACGACGTTTTATAAGAACTAGTAAAAATTAAAGATATATTTTGCTTCATGAGCAATCATATTTTGGACAAATCCACCCAAGCTGATATCTATACGACGGCATAGTTATTTCGGATACCCGATTTCTCTCAATGTTTAGTTTATTAACGAAGCTTCTCAGCTGGATGCATCTACCCCTCGTCTATTTTACCATTTTCAATCTCTTGAATAGGACATCGTTTTCAGTGCACTTAGCCGCCTCGGCATTCGAAATTAGTCACATTTTCAATTTTTTTTTTTTTAAACAAATTTGATGAGCCAAAACGCAGACCTCTAGTAATGGATACAACTGCTCGGAGGCACCAACAGTCTAAAGTTTTAATGTCAGTGTGTTAGGCAAAAGCTTATTTATTTATTTATTCCCTTCATTGGCTGTCTAGAACGCACGAAGATGCTTTTGTTGGCTACTTTGTTTACAAAATGGCGTTGTCAAAAACACATTTCATGCTCTCCAAACTTCCCGTGTGCATCCATAACTCGATATTACGAACGCTAAGCATGAAAAAATTCTTAAATTTGCCCTTCCACAGGGAACAATCATGGTAAAAGTTAAGAACTTAAAAACGCTAACAGTCTTTTTTTTTTCGTTTTCAAGGATAAATTATGATTAAGTGACAGCCTATTAAGGGGCGGGGGGTGGGGGTTGGGGTGGGGATATAAATGATATCAGAAAATAATTTCTACACCGATCTTGAGCAAAAACAAATGTCAAGGTCATTCATATCATGCCAATGCATTTAAATTTGTTTGAACACCTACTGTTACTTTGCAATTCAAAAGGAAAACGATCTATTTTAAAGCCTTTTCATGGTATGTGGTGTATATAATCTAGCTAAATTAGAATTTCTTCGTTTCCTAGGTACTTATTATTTCTGCTGCAGCCTTACGTTCTATTTCTCTAAACTACACCAAGTTAAATACTGGATTTAACCTCAGAGACTAAAATTTACCTTACAAACATATATAGTGCTGACTACGACAAAATGTCTGTCGTTATAGTTTAAGTTATTTCGCGATTATGTCTAAGATTTCCTTTGACAGTAGAACCCGTTTAAATCTCTTTTAAGGGAGAGAGGCACGATTAGGCCACCAGTAGTGAAAAGCACTTTTCGCGCCTGATTGTCTGATCGCTCCGAGCAAAAATTGATAACCAAGCCATGGAATAGTACAAAATCGATAAAGGTTTTCTTTTCCTCCTTCAGGGAATCACATTTTCTCACATGCAAAGAAATGAGCAGTCAACTTGGAATTATGAACAAATTATCCAAGAGAAACCTCTGGACCGCGCCCAGTAAAGAGCAGTACCTTCCTGCTTACGTTAAGATGCTGAGTGACCAGTACCTAACAGGACCATCGCCACGTTCCTTGCAACCAGTGAAGGTTAGCATCTCTCTCTACCTATCGAAATTAGTCTTAGAAAATTGACGTACATCTGCTCGAGGCCTAAGAAAATGCAAAGTTACTTCTTCAACCTCACTTTAGAAATGAATTGAGGTGATGGGAAAGAGTTACGTCTAGCCTCGACTTCAAAATTATTTTGATGAGAAGTATTTATTTTTTATTTTATTGGCTTCGCCAACATAATATAAATACGAAGAGGTAATCAAACAAAGTTACAAAGAAAAAGTGGCAGAGATTCTGCAACAGCGTGAGCCAGTTACCGCGGGCCCAGAAAATTAAAAAATATAAGAATAGTTAAAATAGATAATCACAAAATTAAAAGCAACACGAGACAGGCTGGGCAAGACTACGACACTTATTACATTTAAAACAGACAGACTTAAAAGTGCGGGGATTTTCACAGTAGTAATTACTTAAGGCGGTTTTGTAATACTCTATCATTTCCTGTTTAAAATCATTCAGGGCGTAGATGTGATCTTTTTTTTTTACTCTAATGACACATTCAGTCTGTAACAGTATATATCATTTATCATACGACAGTAACTAGTATAAAATAGCAATTTGGTTGTATGCAAGGAAAAAAGGAGGGAAATTCCTAGCCTACGAAAGCATCCGTTTCTCCCCAGCGGCGAAGAGCGAAGGAGAAACGGATGCTTTCGCAGGCTAGGAAATTCCCGCTAAGACTACACCTACTAGAAGCTAAAAAAAGCGACATTTGTTCACTATTGCTCGGTAATAATTCCGAAATAATCATTACCAAAAGGGTCATAAAAACCTATGAGTCGTTAATGACGCTAATGAAATGAAGTTTCCCAATAATGTGCAATGCAAGAATGTGAGGTTTCAAGTAACTGAAAATTAACGGCATTGTTTTAGATACTGGGGCTTCAACGGGACTCAGACCCGGCTACGTGGGTCCTGGGGAAAAATTTGATCATAAGCGTGGGGAATGACGGAACTTCAAGAATACTGTCCTCAGAGGAGACAATGTTTAGTGTCATCGAGGATTTCTGTCGAATTCCGATGTTGCGACCTCAACGTCAGTGATGTAGAGTAATTATTTTTCTTTTCAATTTTGGCTTCGTTACTTTGTGTTTGCTAACGTACTTGTTCAGACATAACATGTTATCCGCATATATACTTGTTAGGTGTATATCTCCATATGGGATTGGGAACAAATCACCTTGTTTCTTTTCTTATAACAGCAAACCTCTTTTTGCAACGAATGTTTTAGTTCGTTGGATTGTTCTTCATTAACTCTCCTTATAAATTCATAATTTCATTTTTTTTATTTTCTTAAGCTGAATTAGACGACGGAGACGGTCTGTTGAAACTTCTGGACTTCCAGGAAAAAGCCTTCGGAGAGAATTTTCCAGCCGCTCTCCTAGTGTTAGGTGGCACTGCACTTGCTGTTCACTATGAACAGCTTAGTAACACCTTCCATGTGCCACCTATAATGGCTTTGGGCGAACCAATAACAGCGAAATCAACAGCCGTCGAAACTGCCTTGTCCATGTTTGGAATGCAGGATTGCGTGGGAGGTAATTCAAATAGTTTTTAGATGCCAATCTTACCGCCTTTTGAGGTCTGGAAGTTGATTCATTGGAATTTAACGTAAGAGAAGAGAAGTCTAATAGTATAAATATTCCAGCCAAAACAAGGGATGGTTACCCGTTTGCCCCCCAAGGCCCTTAACTATACTGCAATCAACTATTTTTTTTTCTGGTTGTGGGTTTAGTTTTTTGTTTATAAAGTAGGAAACATATGTGGTTAAGTTGTCCTTAATGGAGTTATTATCATGACTGCCGACTTAGCAGGTGCATGCATGGCACATTTTACGAATATAGAAGATGACACAGCGTCCATAATAACTGAGCCATCCCAGTTCTTTTCTCTTAATTTCTATAAAGAAGGCGCCTCTTAAGGATGATGAAGACAAAAAAAGAGAGAGCTAAGTGTCACAGCCGTTTTTTTAGTCAGGTTTCCACACCGTGCACATTAATGGAAAATTACCTTTTTGGTAAAATCTACAGAGACAACTTTACCAGCTCTGGCTGAAATTGGTAGCCGTCAGACCATTCCTTTTTGGTGGGAGGACGTAGTCATCTGTGAGAAAATCGCATGCACGGCTTTTAACAAGGTGGGTCTCTCCTACACGAACTGAAATGTTCAAAGTAGTTTCAAATAAGTGGAAAGGCATGTATCAAAAATACGTTTCGCAGTTCGATTTATATAGGTGAACACAATAAGAAAAAGGAAGAGATTGGAAAACTCTAAGCATTACATAGTTATTGAAATAAAAAGTTTTATTACTTCCACTTTGAAATCACTGGCTATCCGTGCAATCTGATTGGCTCTCAGCAGTGTGATTTATTCCTAAATCGCACCATTTTTTGCTCTAAATCGCATCTGTTCCAAATCGCATCATTCATGTTCCAAATCGCATCATTTCTGTTTTAAATCGCACCATTTTTGTTCCATATCGCATCATTTCTGTTTCGAATGCAAAATGAGATGTAAAAGCTTTTTTGTTTCGGCTTTTTAACAAACCGGCTACTCGATCAATAAAATATTAGTACTGACTAAGTTCTGCGATTTCAAAATGGATGTAATAAAGTGGTAATTGAACTTCGTGTCGTGCAATTTTGGTCTGAAATCATACTTGTGATTTCAAATCGAACTCGCGCTGCGCGCTTGTTCGATTTTGAAATCACGCGTATGATTTCAGACCAAATTGCACTCCACTCAGTTCAATTACCATTATAAATCAAAATCCTAGATAGGTTTTTGGTCCCACAACCTACATCATATATAAGGGATTGCCTTACTAAACTAAATGCCTAGTGCAATATGAGATACAAATATATGAGAATTATTAAATCGTACATGGATGTTCTTATTTCAAAGAAAAAAATCTGGCTAGAGCCACTGAAGCGCCAAGTCGACCACAAAATAAAATATCTACAAAAAAGGCCACTTACATGTATAATCATAAATCATGATATATGATACCTCAGGAAATTCCCGAGTCTCGACTTGCTACCTTCGCTTCCTTTTTTAGTTTTTTTTTTTTTCGGCCCAACTGCATTATTACATCCATCGAAGGGCCTTAAATGGGATGGCCCTTCTGAAAGCTGACATGTGTCTGGCCGTAATAGAGATGACGTCAACAAAACTAAATCACTTCAGGTATCTTCATTTGTGTGGCTTATATCTTTCACTGGGAATATATGTTTTACTCCTTTGTGATAGGTTCATTTATTTGTTGTCATCACTGTTCCTGAAAGTCAACAAATTAGTTTATTTAGGGCAGGAGAAATTGGGAGGAAACTTTGCCAGAATTGTCTATCCTATGTTACTTCTAGCTATATATATAGCTGGATGCACAAGCATAACAAAGATCTTTCTTCTTTCCTTCTTTCTTTCTGTCTTTCTTTCTTTCATTCATTCTTCCTTTCCTTTTTTCTTTTTTTCTTCTTGTTTTTGTTTTTGCTCTTTTTTTAAATAATAGTCGAGTAGACGAACTCAGCACCGGGAAGTCCGGTTGAGAACCATCCCAACCATGACTATGAATCCAGAGCTGTTAAAAAAGAAGAGGATGAATGAGATGAGTGCTTTAAGGTAGGAAAGTTTTGCATATGTCTCGCATTCCAACAACGTGATATCGCACTTTAAATAGAGCCGGAGCGACTTTAATAGTTTTTGGTTGTGAAAGGCGTAATTCATTTTTGAAGATAACATCTTATTTTCGAATGTGAAGATATCATGTTTTCGCGCGAAAGCTCAACTGGTATTTCATAGGTTTTTACGCAATAGGGCGTTTTCTTTCATGGTAAAAAGTAGAAGCTGAACAGTACAATTTCAGTAACGAATACGGTTTTGAAGGGCACACTCAAGGGGGAGACTTGTTTACATCGGACTGTAACTACATTATATTTCCGTTCACTGGATCTCAATGAGTTGATAACAACATCAAAAAAATAAATAAATAAAAAAGATCGGAGAAGATCGAATCCCGGAGGAAGAAGTGAGGGTACTTTAATTTATGAAAAAGTTGTCATTAAGTTATTCCTAACACTATTTACTTAACATTACCTTTTTGTAGGATGTTTTCAAGGATTTTGGTTATACCCTTTGTAAAAGGGGCAAGGGAGAGCAGCCTTACAGAAAGGCTAGCTCAGCAAGAGTTAGAGTTCGAGGCAAAGAGAAAAGCTAGGAAAAGCGTGGGGAAAATCCTCGAGCTCTGCAAAGATTTCGAAAACATAAAGGACGACTAAAAGGACAAGTAAGGACAATAAAGGACTAGTCAGGACACTAGAGGACTAGTAAGCATGGAAAAGGACTAGTAAAGACATTAAAGGACTTGTTAGGACGGAAAAGGACTAGTTAGGACACTAAAGGACTAATAAGGACGGAAAAGGACTAGTAAGGACGGAAAAGGACTAGTAAGGACGTAAAAGGACTAGTAACGATACTAAAGGACTAGTAAGGATGCTAAAGGACTAGTAAGGACGGAAAAGGACTAATAAGGACGTAAAAGGACTAGTAAGGACGGAAAAGGACTAGTAAGGACGTAAAAGGACTATTAAGGACGGAAAAGGACTAGTAAGGACGGGAAAGGACTAATAAGGATACTAAAGGACTAGTAAGGATGCTAAAGGACTAGTAAGGACATAAAAGGACTAGTAAGCACGGAAAAGGACTAATAAGGACAGAAAAGGACTAGTAAGGACGGAAAAGGACTAGTACGGACATAAAAGGACTAGTAAGGACGGAAAAGGACTAGTTAGGACGGAAAAGGACTAATAAGGATACTAAAGGACTAGTAAGGATGCTAACGGACTAGTACGGACATAAAAGGACTAGTAAGGACGGAAAAGGACTAGTAAGGACGGAAAAGGACTAGTTAGGACGGAAAAGGACTAATAAGGATACTAAAGGACTAGTAAGGACGGGAAAGGATTAGTAAGGACATAAAAGGACTAGTAAGGACGGAAAAGGAATAGTGAGGATATAAAACGGCTAGTAAGGACGGAAAAGGACTAGTAAGGACATAAAAGGACTAGTAAGGACGGAAAAGGACTAGTAAGGACATAAAAGGACTACTAAGGACGGAAAAGGACTAGTAAGGATATAAAAGGACTAGTAAGGACGGAAAAGGACTAGTTAGGACGGAAAAGGACTAGTAAGGACGGAAAAGGACTAATAAGGATACTAAAGGACTAGTAAGGATGCTGAAGGACTAGTAAGGACGGAAAAGGACTAATAAGGATACTAAAGGACTAGTAAGGACGGGAAAGGATTAGTAAGGACATAAAAGGACTAGTAAGGACGGAAAAGGAATAGTGAGGATATAAAACGGCTAGTAAGGACGGAAAAGGACTAGTAAGGACATAAAAGGACTAGTAAGGACGGAAAAGGACTAGTAAGGACATAAAAGGACTAGTAAGGACGGAAAAGGACTAGTAAGGACGGAAAAGGACTGATTAGGACATAGAAGGACAAGTTAGGATGATACAGGATTAGTAAGGTTATTAATGGACTAGTAAGTGCGGAAAAGGACTAGTTAGGATACTAAAGGACTAATAAGTACAGAAGAGAAGTAGTTTTGAGAAGTGTTTATTGCTCACAAAACGTTGTGCACAATGTTAATTTAATTTATGTTGCACGACTATATGGTGTGCTACCATGTAGTGCATGCCCTGTGATGTGAACATTCCAGTGTTAATGCTTGTGCTTCACACGATGTTTCTGTCTCCATTTCTGACTGAGTATCTCGTCCCGAAAGGGTTGCTGCACACTTGAGAAGTGATCGATTACTAAAGGCTGATAGTGCCATTATAAATTGTAACAACCTTAAGATGTCCTGTGATGCTATCAAGAAGCATATTATATGAACGATCTCCAACCTTTCAAAGAAGCAAGTTTGAAACCGTTGGACACTTTCAAAATGGACGCCAAATCAACGAACCTGATTGAGCATGTGCAAAGGAACAAGCCCGCTGACCAGGGGTGCTTACCATTTGACAGAAAAATCCGGTTGGGGTGTCGAAAGCATAATGGTAAGCGATTTGCCAGTTTACCGTAGAAATGCCATATCCGTTACGGTTTGAATCCAAAAAAGGGTAAATTTGTGTCGCGTGAGTCTGGAACTGAGAAGGAACTGAGAAATTGGTTAATGGTAAGCAACATTCCGTTTGGTTCGTACCAACCGGAATGAAAGGACTACCTCAATACGTACTCCTCAATTTTCGGTTGGAATTTCCGAAAAGTGACCTTACCATTTACCTTCCATCCGGAATTTCCGAAATTCTCCGTCAAATGGTAAGCACCCCTGGTGTCCCTTCACTCTATTGTTTCCAGGGGCCCGTTTCTCAAAAGTCCCGGTAAGTTTTCGGGCCCGAAATCAAATATTCAAATCGAAATATAAAGAATAAGAGCGCGGGTCCAGGCTAGCAAACTACTCCATTTTGTTTCATTAACTGATAGTCTTATCATGTTAGATGCAAAAGTACTGAAACCTCGATCTTTAATGTAAACGGCAACAGCTTACCGGGCCCGTTAATTATCGGGACTTTCGAGAAACGGGCCCCAGGCCCCTTTCTTTTAACAAATTGTCCGTTCCCAAACCTGAAGTCCGCGGACTTAAAATAAGGAAGCGATAAAGGAGGTTCAACGATGAAGCCAGCACTCCGTTGAATGTAAAATGGACACAGTAATTTGTGAATGCGTTCTTTCTCTTTAAGTAATGCGTTCTTTCTTTAAGTAAGACTCGCCGTTTTTGCGAGGCGATATTTTTTCTTTTATTTCAATTTGATCAAATTACAGTTGAAACTCTCTACAACGGCCACCTTAGGGACATCGAAGAAAGTGGCCATAGTAGAGAGGTTGAAAGAAGAGTAAATGTATGTCATGTATGGACCGTCCGCCGAAAAAAAAAACAACAAAACAAAAATGGCCCGTGTAGAGAGGTGACCGTTAAGGAAGAAACACCTTATACTGACTGGAATCAATGAGGGAATACTACTGAGTCTTGAAGGCTGTTGTGTTTGCCGCGACAGATATGCCGTTTTTCGAAAATTGCCGCACAGTCGCAAGCTATATCTTTGCATGAACTCTGCCAGCAGAATTTTCTTTTCAGCGTCACTTTTAAGCGTGTACGCGAAGTCGTTCGCACCATAAAATATTTGCGTGGTTGGCTTGTTTACATCGCACACCAACATCGAACACCAAATGAGTGATCAAAAAAACTATGCGAACTAGTATCAGGACACAAACGACTTACTAAAAACAGTGCCGGGAATAAATTGCTGTTAGGAATTAAGCTAGCATTATATGACAACCTTACTAAACCTTTACTTGTAGCGTAAATGAGCGTAAAGCTGTTACAACAACTTTATGCTAGCTTTACGAAACCTTTAAGAGCCGAGCGCGTAAATTTACCTTTACAAACCTTTACGCGTCGTGGAAAGTTTGCGTAAAGTTGGATGACCAACTTTACGCAGGTTTACGCAAACTTTAATTTTGCGTAAATCTCCATTTTCATGCTGTGTATGTTTGAGTCACTCGCCCGTAAAATGAACAGTGCTCAAAATATGAATCCAGCGATTGGGTTCAATGCAACTCTCACGTTTATTACCTACCCTGAAAAAGGTGGTAAAGGTTCAGCTTCTAAAAATCCAAACAGATTGCCATTTGATTTGATGCACAAAAAGAAAAATTGTATGATCAAGATCAAAAACACAGATGATTTATGTTGTGCCCGTGCCCTCGTAACGATGAAAGAGTACGTGGATGGAGACCCAGACAAACAATATAGAAATCTACGTGATGGCAGACCCATTCAAGAACGCCTAGCCAAGCAGCTTCACCAAGATGCAATTGTACCTGAGGGACCCTGTGGCTATGACGAACTAGAAAAATTTCAAGCGTTTCTAGGACCCCAAGGCTACAAAATCATCGTGGTAGATTACGTCTCTTGTGCCTGTATTTTTCAAGGCAATGTGGATCAGTATAGCAAAGTCATTTATTTGCTTAAACACGACAATCATTACAATGGCTTACGAAGCATGGCCGCCTTTCTGAATCGATCCTACTTCTGCCCTGATTGCTGTAAAGGGTTCAACACACATGACACAGCAAGCCATTCTTGTAGTGGTCGTAATTGCTGTAGTTGTCAGCGCACACGTTCTCAGAAAAATAATGGTGGCTGCCCCGATTTTTCCCCAGGAAAAAAGAGAACCATTCACTGTAAAGACTGCCAGCGGGATTTCTATGGTCCAGACTGTTTCAAGGCTCATAAAGAAACAAAAGGCAAGAAAACAGTGAGTCTTTGTCAGAAGCTAAAAAAGTGTTTAAAATGCTGTAAAGGTTATAAAGTCAATCCAAAGAAGCCACACAAATGCTACCATGACACTTGCCGTTACTGCCATGAATTTGTTGAAATATACAATCACAAATGTTACATCCAGCGTGTTAAAGAGGTAGATGATGAGGAACACGATGATGATGATGATGATGATGACGAGGAAAAGAAGCTACCACCTCTCATGGTGTTTGCTGACATCGACTGTTTGATAGAACCCACAGAGCAGGGAAAGCAGTTATTCATAGCAGATTTGGTTCGATATCCTACTGAAGAACATCCACACAATGTTTCTCATGCCTTTAGTGGCGAAACCTGCATTCAAAAGTTTATTGACGCAATGAATCAACTAACAGAAGTGGAAGACAAACAGCGCGATTTATTTATAGTTTTTCACAACCTCAAGGGTTTTGATAGCAACTTTATCATCGAGGAACTTTACCGTCAGGGTATTAAGGTGGAAAACCAGCTGACGACGGGCGCCAAAACCCTGAAGTTTCATTACTGGTATCTGGACGCCATGATTACCTTCAAAGATTCACTTTGTTTTCTCCCAATGCCACTGGCCGAGTTGCCTGAAACATTCAATTTCGTCGAGCTTCATAAAGGTTTCTTTCCACATGCGCTCCATACAAGAGAGAGTTTAACTTACAGGGGTCGTCTACCGGAAAGACACTATTTTCAGCCACAAGCAATGAAGCAAAAGAAACGAAAGGAGTTTGACACTTGGTACGCGACTGAATTGGCAAGAAATGAAGAATATGTTCTCTGGGAGGAGTTAAACAAGTACTGCCATTCTGATGTAATGGTATTGAAAGCTGCCTGTCTAAAGTTTATACAAGAATTTAAAGAGGAAGCAGGGTTTAATCCTATAGAAAAATGTGCCACCATTGCTTCTGCATTCAATTTATTCTGGCGAAGAGATCTTATCCCCGAGGATACCATTGCCATAGAACCATTGAATGGCTGGTGTGGTGCTAATGTGAACCAAAGTACAGCAGCACTAGAATGGTTATGTTTTGAAGATTTTAAACTAGGAGGAAATAGACTAGGCCATGTCCGCAACGGGGGAGAGCAAAAGATGATCACACAAGGCGAGGCTCTGTTTGTCGATGGCTATGACGAAACTACCAAAACGGTCTATGAATTTCATGGTTGCTCTTATCATGGGTGTGTTAAATGTTTCCCAAACCATCGCTACAGGAAACACAATAGACCATTCCCGCATTCGTCACAAGCACGCGCGCGAAAACATGAAAGTGAGGCTCGGGTGGACAAACATCAAACATGGCGGACAACACCGAGAAGCCTAGGCGCAAACTGCGAAAGATATCCCGTGGTGTAAGTCTCTTAAAAGCTTGCCAGTGTTTACAAGGAAAGAGATAGATGAACACCGGAACAATAGTGGCAAACGAAAGGCTGACGACGTTTCGAAGCCTATTAAAAAAACCCTGAAGCGCGGCTTAAAATTTCAAGAAGAACGGTATCTTTCATCAGACACAGTGTATACGAAGGTATTTGGTAACTCGTTTATGGTAAAAGCAAAGTGTCGTGCCAGCATGAGTACTCGAGAAATTCACGAACTAGAAGTTTCACTCGATATAACATCTGGGAATGTACGGGAAGCACACTGTACTTGCAGAGCTGGCAAAAGTGGATACTGTAATCATGTGATGAGTCTTCTACTTGAACTCGCTCGTTACTCTTTGGAAGACTTTGACAGGATACCCGAGGAAGCAGCATGTACAAGTATGTCAAGGAAATGGGGTATTCCAGGTAAAGTATAAATTGATTTCAATTAGCTGTAAATACCTACCTGTACTTTTGGGCAGCTCACGCAAGTAGTTAACATGTTCGGTTTTCGTCTGCTAGCAGAAGAATTAAACTGATAATAGCATAGGTCATGCTGAAGCACGTCTTGATAAAAATGTATGATGTGTCTGAAAGTTTTGAAGTGACTTAAGCATTATTCACATAGTGATCAAACTTTTTTCTGTTCTTGTTCTAAGGTGAGAAAGGTCTACCTAAAGAACCCATAATGAAGACATCAGTTCAAAAGGAGTTAACGAACAAGGGAATAAAACCAACTCTGTATGATCCAAGAGTCAAGGAAAGAAAAAGATTAGACATCCGTGGAGTTCAAGTAATGCAAAAGGAATTGGAATCAATTCATCCTCTTATTGGTTTTTCCCATGTCATCCCAAAAAAGCCTGAATTGCTGACTAATATAGACACCAGGTATGGACCAGTGGTCATTGGATCTCCCCTCTCTTTTCATTTAAGTTCTTTGGAGTTCAATTTCACTGTTGTCACTAACCTGGAACCGGCAGTTAACCCTGCTCAAGCAGATTCAAGTGACATTTACAAAGTAAGCTTGCCATTCCATTTCCCAGATTTACCTGAAGCTGTTCATTTCAGTACTGTGCAACAAACATTCATTGAACACTTAAGAGTAACTCACCAAGAAAGTATTGATATTGAGAAAAGGACTGTTAAGCAAAGGGAATGTGATGAGTGGATAAAACACCGCAAAAATAGACTTGGATCATCTGTGTGTCACAGAATATATGTAAGGAAACGAAGTTTCAATAATCTTGCCAAGGAACTTAACCAGCCATTTAAGCCTCTAGATGAAATTCCAGCAATTCAGCAGAGAAAGCTAAAGCATGGCATAAAATTTGAGCCAGTTGCAAGAGAAAAAATATTATGATGTCATGAAGCACTATTTGAAGAGGCCAATTACCTTGAGAGAGACAGGAATGGTGATTCCCCTTGCATGTTTTGGCTTGAAGGCAGTCCTGATGGTCTTGTTATTGATCCATGTTCCTCATCTGGGAAGATAGGGACAATTGAAATGAAATGTCCAGAGGGAAAGAAGAACCACACCCCAGAGGAGGCAATGCAAGATGAATCGTTTTACATTGAATTAGTTGATGGTAAACCCAACCTGAAGAAAGATCATCACCTAGGATATTACACCCAAGTCCAGCTAGTTATGGGTTTCTGTGGTTTAGAGTGGGTTGACTTTGTAGTCTATCTATTTAAAGGGATGATCATCACAAGGGTTCCATTTAATAAAGATTATTTTGACCAAGTAGTATGTAAAGTAAACATCTTCTATGTAAAGTGGTTTCTTCCTCAGGTCATGGCCTAAATGCAGTTTAGTATATTGAGCATTGTGCCTGAGCAAACGGTGACATTACAACGTGTACCAGTTTTCCATAGTATCTAGCTTTTAGACTCCTGTTGATGGGTGTTAGGGCTTCAAGGATAAGGTTACTTTGCTCGTTGCAATGTTATTACAGTACAGTAAAAACCCACGTATAAGAACCTAAAATTTAAGAACCTGTTAGGCTAAAATGTTTATTTTAAACCCCCTTTTCATAATAACCTATTTAGCCTAAAATTTTCAATAGGTTAATATTTTACAAAAATGAAACAGATGAAAATACGGAGAAAAACTTTTAGTGTAGGTTTCAGTCAGTAAGATTCAAACAATGAACTAAAATGAAAACCATATCATGTCTTTGCCAATACTGGATTACACAATGCAATATTATTATTAAGAATACAGATCTCTCTCATATGCCTGAGAGTAGTTATCTGTGCTGATCACTAGTACCTCTATCAAAATTAAGAGCCTGTTTAAGAACCTAAGTAGCCCAGAATCCCACTAAATACCATTTCTATAAGAACCTATTTAGGCTAAGTTGGAAAAATCTAGGTTCTTGTATGCATATTTTTACTGTATTTCATTGACAATATACGAGAAGGAGTATTTCATAGAATTCTTAAAAAAAAAGATGACTTCCATGACAAGAATATTAAAAGTATTACATGTTCAGCAATTACTTAACAATTTCTGTTCAATTTCTATGAGAGCAATGATTTGCGCAATAATCTCAAGAAAGGTACTGTTTGAAAATCGTGGAAATTCAATTATTGCAAAATATCAATTATTCTAAAAGGGAAAGTGTTTTCATTGACAAAAGAAATGTTAGTTAGTCTTGAAAAAGCGAAAATTCAGCTTCGGTATTTATTCATAAACCAACTTGATCCTTGTAAATCATTGGGCACTTTGAAGGAAATGATGATAAAACCATAACATTATTATTGCTTAATAAGCGGGTCCATAAAGTTACATAGAAGACAAGCCACTGTCCATATTTGGTTTATGGTCCCATTCATATTTAGTGGAATTTCAGTCTTTAAGACTTTAAATTTCTTAATGCGAGCAATAATACGTTCTACATGGATTCTAACAGAGGCGATTGTTTGACTAAATACAACATCTTCTTTGTCAAGCTGCTCTTTGCCATCAAGAAATGCAGGTATGTTTAACTTAACTCCTAGAGGGTCAAGTAATTCCTGGATGGTAAATCCTCTGTCTGCCATAATTGAATCCCCTTTCTCCCAAAGTTCTGGGTGTAGTATACCACACCTGGAAACTATTTCCTTATCTGACAGCGATCCAGGGTACAACTGACTCACAAAAGTTATAGCTCCAGAAGGACTGATGCCCACTAAAGCTTTGTATGTTACATGGTGCTTATAGTGTGAGTAAAGGGCACTCTGTGTAGTTAGGCTAGAAGGCACTTGTACAAAGATTTCTGTACAGTCAATGATACATCTTGTTGAGGGATAAGTGTCCTTAAAACATATTGGCATGGATGAAACAATCTGATCTTTAGAAGGCCATATGGGAATATTTCCCAAACAGAAGTACAGGTAATTTGACCAGGTGATCAAGTACCGGGAAATGGTTGATTTGCCAAGTCCAAATAACCACACCAGATGTTTCTGTCCAAATCCACACCTTAACCACACCAAAAACATAAACAATTGTTCAATCACATCCAATTTAGGGCTCACACCAGGCTTACTTCCTTCAGTAAATTTACATTCATCAGGTTCATCTGACCCATTCTTTGAAGGCTCATAGTATTTCAAATTACTAGCATTCTCACCAGGATTTAAAAATTGAAAAAGAATGTCAAACTTAACTGGATGAAAACCAGTGAATGACTTGAAAACGTCTTCTTGTTCTCTGATGTTCTTGGATGTAAACTGTCCTTTTTCCAGTTTTTGTATTTTGGCTTTCAGCTCACTCCAATCTTTTTCAACGTCACTTTTTTGTTTAATCAAAAGTGACAATTTAACCTCCAACTTTTCCACGACTCTTCTCAAATAAGCGCAATTTTCACAGGCCTCTGTCGGTCTTGCATTGTCTTCATTAAGCAACCTAGAGCTTAAATAACATGGTTCTGATTCAGGCTGAATATTTTCTTCATTTTGCTCAGAACATCTCTTTTTGGTAATTTTCGATTAGGTGTGCTCGCACTTTTATTCCAGCTGAAAATGGAAGGAATAGTAGTCTTGTCTTTCAGATCTTTCCTGCCACTGAACTGTTTTTTAATTTCCTCAGGGCGAAAATGTTGCTCACACACTTTAGTGTATTCCGTCACAACAAATCCGTCTCTGTTTTCTTGTCTTTTAATTGCCAAAAGCCACCGATTCCTACTTTTTGCCTCCAGAGGAAAAGAAAAAAATGAAATATTAGTTTTTTCCCCCTGATTGTTATAAAAGGAACTTTTGCAACCAGGGACACAACAATATTTGCTACGGCCACCGCGCGAAGAAGTGAAGGTGTTGTCCGCCATGTTTGATGTTTGTCCACCCGAGCCTCACTTTCATGTTTTCGCGCGCGTGCTTGTGACGAATGCGGGAATGGTCTATTGTCCCCAGATCGTACCATCTCAGAAATCTATGAAGCCACCTGTAAAAAGACACAGAAGTTACGTCAAGCAGGCTATACGGTGATTGAGAAATGGGAGCATGATTTTGAGATTGAGAAGAAGACAAACCCCACTCTCATGGAATTTTTGAAGACCTTTCAGCTGTCTGAGCCATTGAACCCTAGAGATAGCTTCTTTGGTGGTAGAACCAATGGAGTGCGTTTACATTGTGTTGCAGCAGCAGGAGAAGAAATTCGCTATGTAGACATCAATTTGCTTTACCCGTACGTCAACAAAACAAAAACGTATCAAGTGGGTCACCCCGAGATTTTGGTCAATCCAACAAATCAAGATATTGGCAGTTACTTTGGCATAGCAAAAGTCAAGATTCTCCCACCACCCCATTTGTATCATCCAGTACTCCCCGTCCACATTGGTGGCAAACTCATGTTTCCTCTATGTACACAATGTGTAAAGGAAGAATTGGAAAAACAATGGTTGACTCGTACAGCGGTTTGCACCCACACTGCGGAGGAACGCTGTATAACGGGCACTTGGTGCACACCCGAGTTGCAGAAAGCTGTGGACCTTGGTTACAAGGTCCTAAAAATTCACGAGGTGTGGCATTTTTCTGAAAATCAGCGCAAAGAGGGCTTGTTTGCAGAGTATGTAAATAAATGGCTCAAAAATAAAACTGAAGCATCGGGTTGGCCCAAGAATTGTACCACAGAGGCAGCAAAGTCAGAGTACATCAATGCTTACTATGAGCGTGAAGGGGTTCAGCTAGAGCCTGCAAAAGTGGCCAAAAATGGGGGACGGAAACAAGTGGCCAAACTTATGCTCAACAGGTAATTAGAATTAGAATGTAAAGATAGGACAAAGATCTTCAAAGAATCATTGTTTGATTTGTTTGCCTCTTTGTATTTTCAGCTTCTGGGGCAAATTCGGCGAGAAACCCAACAAGACTCAAACCTTTACCGTCACAAGTCCTGCAGAGCTATATGCAATAATAGAAGATGCTGGTAACAACATTCACGACATACGAATATGCACTGATGATATAGTAGAAATTGATGTCAGTAAAGCTGTAGAAGGGGTCATTCCAAGCAATAAAACCAACATTTTTATCGCGAGTTTCACCACGTCATGGGCCCGCTTAGAGTTGTACAAGTATTTGGAACAGTTGAAGGATCAAGTTCTATATTTTGATACAGACAGCATCATTTATCTTTGGCATAACGGTTTACCTGAAGTGGAGACGGGTCCGTTTTTGGGTCAGATGAAACACGAAACCGCTGGCGTACCCATACAGGAGTTTGCGACAGGGGGTCCAAAAAATTACACTTACATGCTACAAAATGGTGAAACAGAATCCAAAATACGCCGTTTTATTCAGGATGAGCAGGGCAGGGCTCTGTTGAATTTTGATTCCATGGAAAGTCACATTTTAGCTGCGATCAAAAACCCTGGGAATGCACCACAGCCTATTGCAGTACCTGTAAGCGTGAATATGGACACCAATAGGACCACCAAGAAAATCTGTCTAACCCCTAAAGTCAAGAATTATCGCCTTGTCTTTGAAAAGCGGGTGATTCAAACAAAGGATTGTAGCAGCAAACCTTATGGTTATGATTGGATAGGCCAACACACTTGAACTAGGCCTCCTAAGGCTTTTTAAGTTAGCATTTTTGCCTAGAGATTTGTACGCTAGGTTATTGATGCAATAAACGTGTGTAAGGATTACTTCTGTGTGATTGATCTACCTGACTACTTATCTCTTAAACAAAGCTAGATTGCGCTAACCCCACTCCCTTGCCCTACAAACACTCTCTTCCCCTAACCCCTCCCCTCCCACTCTAACAGAGATTGGGTGGGTCTGGATCCTAGCGAGAGAGGGGACTTGCTGACTGAGCGTTTTTCAGGCATAGTAAGTAGAATGATTTTAGCGAACGTGTTAAACAGCAGTCACAATGCAGACAGTATCTATGCAAGATTTGGGACAATTTTCATACTGGCAAGACAAACGTCTGACTAGTTTTCATTGCTATGACCTTTACAACCCAGTGATTTCTGTGGAGTTAACAGAATTAGCGGATCGTGTGGTAACGATTCGGTGGTGGAAATTCAATTGGATTTGTGTATTCAACAATTATGTGTCCCTGCTTTGCATGAAAGTTTGTTGATGTCTATGAGCGATGCTTTATTACAAGCACTTCAACGTTGGATTACACGTCATGGGTACCCTATGTAATCACAGTGTTATATTTCATTGCAAGCAGTCGAACCGTTACCGCTGCCTTTAACAAGATGTCTTGGGGTGTTGACAAATATTCCCACTTTGCATTCTTTCCTTGGACGTGTAACTTAGCACGCATCATGTTAGCCCTCTTTGATTGGTTAAGTTATAGCTGGTTGATGACAATTACAAGCACCGTGTATGGAATTTAAATTAGTTATCATACTGATCCACGAGAACAATAGCGAATGATGTCATCATGTAATTAACGGACACAACAATAGATTGACGTCATTCGATTAATCCATGACAACAAAAGCCGTTGACGTCATTGGGTGTAAATACAAAAGACTTGTCCAGACCTGCCCAGTGAACGTGATGGTAACAAACAATACATGACCCAAGCATACAGAAAATCTCTGGGGATCACTTTTGAGTATAAGTGCTAGGCAGTTTTCCCTTTTCAACTCACTACGTCTTTGTGCTAATAACGACGATGCAAAAGATAAGGTATCCTAGACCTTGTCCTACTTGTAGGAAGAGTTTTAGCAAAGGCCATTTCTTTCAACATAAAAAGAGATGCGGTACAACAGAAAATCGAGTGAAATGCCCAGAGTGTTACTTAACTTTTGGATACAAACACGTTATGTTACGACATGTAAGACAGCAACATTCGAACAACCCATTGCGTTTTCCAAGTATGATTTGTGATAAGGTATTGACAACTGCTCAACCCTACACATAAAGACCGCTCATGCTGATGAAAAACCTTGCTTTGACTGCTGGTACTGCAATGCCACGTTTACAAGACAAACTGCAAGACAAGATCACATTCGTCATGTGCATGGACGTATTTGTAGAGAGCGAGAGGTAAATTTGTATCTTCATTTGCAACATTTAAGTGAAGAGAAGAACTTCAAGAACGAGTGGCAATTTGCGGAATCCAGACCCACTGAACACGGCGAACATAACGTCTGCCTTTGTGGTCAAACACATATAGAATCTTACTTCTTTGTAGAAAACAAATGGAACGGGAATCGCACCTTCGTGGGCTCAGATTGTGTAATAAACGTGGATCCCAAAGCAGCAGCTGTGATTGGTTATTTCAAGCATATTTTAGAAAACACAGTGTAAGGGACATACAAGGGGCAAGATGAGAGGGGGATTACAGCGATTCGCAGTTCGCACAAACATTACGTTAGTACAGCGCCTGCACGCAGTGGAACATTTACACCCACAAGTAACACGAAACCCAGAGAGCGAATGGGAAGTAGTGGTTGTCTACCCTGAAGCGGAGACTTTGATTATAGGTAAAACATATTCTCTGAAGCTGAAGGCCAAGTATAAACAAGGGTAGCTTACTTTCACAGCATTGCAATTTCACTAGGTACGTCATTTGCTATATAAGGTAAATAAATCACACATTGTTTATACATTTCAACTGACTGTGTTTTATTCACTGACCGTTTTCTAATTTACTACAAAGTTGGGTATATTTTGACTGCAAGTCTGCGAGCTCTTGCTGGAGTTGAGCCACAGTAGGTTTCTTGGGTTTTTTACGGGCCTTGAGCCGCTGACGATCACCTTCCCGTTGCTTCCTCATAGTTTGATAACTGTCTTGATCTTGAGAGAGTTTCTTCTCTTCTTCTTGAATCATTTGATCCAAAATGACACTTTGCACTTGATCACAGGCTGCATTGACGATAGCTTGAGCTTCGGGGGAACTCATTTTTGGGTATGGTTTTATAGATTTCATTCTTTGCGGAAACGTACCATTCTTGAGATGTTTTTTGAACCCTTTGAGGGTATGCTCTCGATACTTGATTCTAGCTTTGATCGTCATCAGTTTTTGTCGATAACCCTTCAACCTGGTCTTGGCAGGCATGGTTTTTTCGGTGGGTTCATTACCAGTCTTGGTAGAAAGTGCTTCTACAGAACCACCCATAACAGACATGTTACCTCTAGGCAATCAAACGTACAACTGATAATGATAGACACAATTCCATTCTATTTATAGCCTGAGGTGAGGTCTAAGGTATAAGAGAAAGGGGTGTGCTATTCTATCTATCATTTATCACAAATCATCATGTGGATAGGAGGGCATGACGATTGGACTCCCGCAGAGCAGCGTGAATGGGATAGAGATCTAGAGGAAATGAAAGCTGAACGTGAGCAGAGAGAACGTGAGGCTAAGAACGAGGATAAACTCTCCTGGATAGAATTGGCTCTGGATTATCCAAAGTTTAAAGCCACTTATACCAAAATTGGAGACAGATTTGTATGTGGTAGATCTAAAGCGACAGACACCTGGCAAACAAGGGGACCGCAACTTAGTGTTTGAAGTCGTCTACCCATTGTATCAAGGCCTGAATGCCATCCTTGAGCAGAGAAAAACACCCAAGACCTCTCTCGTCAAAATAGAGACCTCCTCAAGGAGACACAGCAAAGTGAGCTATACGTGTGAATGTACCCCAGATCAGTGGTCTTATAACACTATGGACAAAATCTCAGAAGCCTTGGCTGACCAGCTAACAGCGACACAAAACTTGGATCAAGGACTGCTAATGAACCTGTCATTCTATGAGGAGTGAACAGATTGTAGTAAAACTCTGCAAGTTAATTTCGTAACATGTTGAAAAAGTCTGCAAGTTAATTTCGTAACGTGTTGAAAAAGCCTGCAACTTAATTTTGTAACGTGCGGAAAACGTCTGCAAATAAAATTGGAATGAAATGTGTATTACAGTTGTTTAGTTCTAAGCAATCTGCACTGGAGTCTATGAATTTTCATCGACCACAGGCACCCCACAGACACTCCACAGGCACCCTATAGGCACCCCACAGGCACCCTACAGGCACCCTACAGGCACCCTCAGGCACCTCACAGGCACCCTACATTCAACTGAATGAATCGAAAACGTATAAATAGGATGAGACTTTGTGGAAAAGCGACTAGCTGTGATAAGACGCCGAAGAGTCAACATGCCTTATCGAAACAGACGAAATTGTCCAATCTGTTGTAAGAGTGGTCTACTGAGACTAAGACTAAACCGAAACAGCGAAAAGTAACCAAGCTAGAAACAGCTAACTGTTTAGAGACGAGCCCTTACCCAGACTTTAAGTTTAACCACATGTTTTCGATGCTCGTGGTGGGGCCAAGTCAGTGTGGAAAAACGTCTTTCGTGGAGCAACTGTTAAAGAAGAATTGTATCAAGTACCCCAGTAAGAAACAGAGACGTATTTTCTGGTTTTACAATCAATGGCAACCACGGTATGCGTCCTTGCAATCTACACTTAGTGATGAGATTGTGTTTACCCAAGGCTTACCTGCACTGAGTGAAGATCTAAGAGAAATCAATCCAAAGTTTCACAATGTGTTGGTGTTTGATAATCTAATGAGCAAGGCAACTGACAGTCTCGTGTTATCAACACTGTTTACACAAGGCCGTCATCGCAATGCTAGTGTGATATTATTGCTGCAAAATATGTTTCCCAAAGGAAAGTTCAACACTGATATCAGCAGGAATGCTCAGTATATGGTCCTCTTTCGTAGTCCCAGTGATCGTAAGCAAATCGACATGGTGGCGGAGCGGATTTTTGCGAAAGACAGGTCAAACTTTATGAAAGTCTATGCGAAAGAAGCCGAAAAGCCTTATGGGTATCTTTTGGTGGAGAATCAACCCAAGACTCCAACAGAGAAACAAGTTGTGGCCGAGGTGTTTGAAAACTGCCACTGTTGTCCTAACATAACCACTTGTACTAAAACAGTATCGGAGGCAGATAAACCTGAACTGGTATCTCGAAAACGTCCCATAGATCCACCGTTAGTGAAAGACAAACACCGAAAACAATCTGAACAGAAGCAGAAAAAATCAGGGACAATCAAGGGGAATCCTGTGAAACAAAACGTCGAGAGCAAACGGCGAAAACAACCTCAAAAGAAGACAGGGAAACAGACCATCAATAAACCTACGTCCGTTGTATCACTGACAAGAGAAAATTTCAAGGAGAACCCGATTAACTGTGAGGAGGTCCCGTTTAGCTCTGATGAAGAACAGTCTAGCTCTGATGAGGAACAGTTTACTTTTAATGCAAACCAGCTAAACACCAGGGCTAGACGACATGTCTGTGCTAGAGGATCTAGCTTTGGGCCAAAGATTGTTTATGAATAAAAAAGACATTCGCATTTTTTGCCTGTCACATTAGACAGAGAAACGTTTTATAGCTTTGAAAAGTAACTTTTTCACTGAAGCTGTACTACAATCCGTAGGTTAGAAAAGTAACTGTCAATGACTTGTGTAATAAAAAGATTTTCAAAAACACCTACGTTTTCTAGTACGCTATAGTCTTTACGATTTAAACACATAAGGATTTATTAGCAGTCTAAAGGCCGGTATTTTAAAGTCTTTGGAACTAACTTCTATACTACACACGTTGCCTAGACCGAGACAACTTTCAGAATTAGCCGTCGATCTGTATTCTAAACTCACAGATTTCATTTTTATAGCGTAGGTTTATTTCGCTACCCCTTCAAGACTTTTCGTCACAGGTTTTTAAGTTAACTTTTCACTCTAGTTTTCACTAATGGAACTGTGGCGAAGTGGTTATCGCATTGGGCTCATAACCCAAAGGACCGAGGATCAAAACCTTGCAATGCGTTCTTTTTTTGGTTTGAATATTGCGATTCTAAGTTCAACGGCATGATAGAGTATTTTCGATACTACAGACAGCTAGCTTTTATTCCACTTGAACAACATTGAAAGTAATTACAATGAAACCGTAGCACAGATTATTCCATCAAAGCGAAAAGCGAATGGTCCCGTAAACACTTTAATAAACCATCGATCCATACAATGCAGGTTTGAAGGAAACCGTGTTGGCTCTCTCGTTTGTGGAAATCTACTCACAGAGATCACTACAGTATATTTTTCTGGAGTTTAGCCGTAGAACTGATTAGTATTCAACTTTAGGCTTATAAACCCGAATAATTAACAGATTACCCGTGCGTGAAACTCAGTGATTTTAAATAGAACCTCAAACCGTACAACACAACGATGCGATGGCGAACCGAGTGGTAAATAGCAGTTGTAAAAAACTGGTAAAGTGAAATTCATTCGTTAAACTCCACACAATCTATTTGCTGAATTATTTCCATCGTAAATGCTACGTGACTGCTCCTTCTAAGCATTACGAAATGATTGATGACGTCAACCGGTAGCCTTTAATACTTAAATTTCTAACTTCATTGTCATGTGAGCCGCCCTAGTCTAGGTGAGATCGTGTGCAGCTAAGTAAGATTCGAAAGTCGCAAGTTCGACTCCTGCCTGTACATTTCTTTTCTTTCTTCTAAGCATTCTAATTAATGCACAACGAAGTAAGACGACGAAATCCGATGAAATCCGACTTAAAAACGAGAGAAAAAATCAATTTCGGTTCAGTCTTTAGAGCTTGTCTAACGAGTTTTAATGGTTGAGGGGTGTGGCTCCAAGGAGGTGGTGGCATTCCCCAAAAGGGGTAAGGAGCCATGTAAGGTAATCCAGTGGATTTTGCTGAGGAAAAGATCGCAGATTTTAGCCACGGTTTTCGTTCTTCACTGGATAACTGATGGACTTGGGCTAGGCGGTGACTTAAAGACAGTAGACCACTCTTACAACAGATTGGACAATTTCGTCTGTTTCAATAAGGCATGTTGACTCTTCGGCGTCTTATCACAGCTAGTCGCTTTTCCACAAAGTCTCATCCTATTTATACGTTTTCGATTCATTCAGTTGAATGTAGGGTGCCTGTGAGGTGCCTGAGGGTGCCTGTAGGGTGCCTGTGGGGTGCCTATAGGGTGCCTGTGGAGTGTCTGTGGGGTGCCTGTGGTCGATGAAAATTCATAGACTCCAGTGCAGATTGCTTAGAACTAAACAACTGTAATACACATTTCATTCCAATTTTATTTGCAGACGTTTTCCGCACGTTACAAAATTAAGTTGCAGGCTTTTTCAACACGTTACGAAATTAACTTGCAGACTTTTTCAACATGTTACGAAATTAACTTGCAGAGTTTTACTACAATCTGTTCACTCCTCATAGAATGACAGGTTCATTAGCAGTCCTTGATCCAAGTTTTGTGTCGCTGTTAGCTGGTCAGCCAAGGCTTCTGAGATTTTGTCCATAGTGTTATAAGACCACTGATCTGGGGTACATTCACACGTATAGCTCACTTTGCTGTGTCTCCTGGAGGAGGTCTCTATTTTGACGAGAGAGGTCTTGGGTGTTTTTCTCTGCTCAAGGATGGCATTCAGGCCTTGATACAATGGGTAGACGACTTCAAACACTAAGTTGCGGTCCCCTTGTTTGCCAGGTGTCTGTCGCTTTAGATCTACCACATACAAATCTGTCTCCAATTTTGGTATAAGTGGCTTTAAACTTTGGATAATCCAGAGCCAATTCTATCCAGGAGAGTTTATCCTCGTTCTTAGCCTCACGTTCTCTCTGCTCACGTTCAGCTTTCATTTCCTCTAGATCTCTATCCCATTCACGCTGCTCTGCGGGAGTCCAATCGTCATGCCCTCCTATCCACATGATGATTTGTGATAAATGATAGATAGAATAGCACACCCCTTTCTCTTATACCTTAGACCTCACCTCAGGCTATAAATAGAATGGAATTGTGTCTATCATTATCAGTTGTACGTTTGATTGCCTAGAGGTAACATGTCTGTTATGGGTGGTTCTGTAGAAGCACTTTCTACCAAGACTGGTAATGAACCCACCGAAAAAACCATGCCTGCCAAGACCAGGTTGAAGGGTTATCGACAAAAACTGATGACGATCAAAGCTAGAATCAAGTATCGAGAGCATACCCTCAAAGGGTTCAAAAAACATCTCAAGAATGGTACGTTTCCGCAAAGAATGAAATCTATAAAACCATACCCAAAAATGAGTTCCCCCGAAGCTCAAGCTATCGTCAATGCTGCCTGTGATCAAGTGCAAAGTGTCATTTTGGATCAAATGATTCAAGAAGAAGAGAAGAAACTCTCTCAAGATCAAGACAGTTATCAAACTATGAGGAAGCAACGGGAAGGTGATCGTCAGCGGCTCAAGGCCCGTAAAAAACCCAAGAAACCTACTGTGGCTCAACTCCAGCAAGAGCTCGCAGACTTGCAGTCAAAATATACCCAACTTTGTAGTAAATTAGAAAACGGTCAGTGAATAAAACACAGTCAGTTGAAATGTATAAACAATGTGTGATTTATTTACCTTATATAGCAAATGACGTACCTAGTGAAATTGCAATGCTGTGAAAAAGTAAGCTACCCTTGTTTATACTTGGCCTTCAGCTTCAGAGAATATGTTTTACCTATAATCAAAGTCTCCGCTTCAGGGTAGACAAACCACTACTTCCCATTCGCTCTCTGGGTTTCGTGTTACTTGTGGGTGTAAATGTTCCACTGCGTGCAGGCGCTGTACTAACGTAATGTTTGTGCGAACTGCGAATCGCTGTAATCCCCTCTCATCTTGCCCCTTGTATGTCCCTTTACACTGTGTTTTCTAAAATATGCTTGAAATAACCAATCACAGCTGCTGCTTTGGGATCCACGTTTATTACACAATCTGAGCCCACGAAGGTGCGATTCCCGTTCCATTTGTTTTCTATAAAGAAGTAAGAATGTATAGGTGTCTGACCACAGGGGCAGACATCATGTTCGCCGTGTTCAGTGGGTCTGATTCCGCAAATTGCCACTCGTTCTTGAAGTTCTTCTCTTCACTTAAATGTTGCAAATGAAGATACAAATTTACCTCTCGCTCTCTACAAATACGTCCATGCACATGACGAATGTGATCTTGTCTTGCAGTTTGTCTTGTAAACGTGGCATTGCAGTACCAGCAGTCAAAGCAAGGTTTTTCATCAGCATGAGCGGTCTTTATGTGTAGGGTTGAGCAGTTGTCAATACCTTATCACAAATCATACTTGGAAAACGCAATGGGTTGTTCGAATGTTGCTGTCTTACATGTCGTAACATAACGTGTTTGTATCCAAAAGTTAAGTAACACTCTGGGCATTTCACTCGATTTTCTGTTGTACCGCATCTCTTTTATGTTGAAAGAAATGGCCTTTGCTAAAACTCTTCCTACAAGTAGGACAAGGTCTAGGATACCTTATCTTTTGCATCGTCGTTATTAGCACAAAGACGTAGTGAGTTGAAAAGGGAAAACTGCCTAGCACTTATACTCAAAAGTGATCCCCAGAGATTTTCTGTATGCTTGGGTCATGTATTGTTTGTTACCATCACGTTCACTGGGCAGGTCTGGACAAGTCTTTTGTATTTACACCCAATGACGTCAACGGCTTTTGTTGTCATGGATTAATCGAATGACGTCAATCTATTGTTGTGTCCGTTAATTACATGATGACATCATTCGCTATTGTTCTCGTGGATCAGTATGATAACTAATTTAAATTCCATACACGGTGCTTGTAATTGTCATCAACCAGCTATAACTTAACCAATCAAAGAGGGCTAACATGATGCGTGCTAAGTTACACGTCCAAGGAAAGAATGCAAAGTGGGAATATTTGTCAACACCCCAAGACATCTTGTTAAAGGCAGCGGTAACGGTTCGACTGCTTGCAATGAAATATAACACTGTGATTACATAGGGTACCCATGACGTGTAATCCAACGTTGAAGTGCTTGTAATAAAGCATCGCTCATAGACATCAACAAACTTTCATGCAAAGCAGGGACACATAATTGTTGAATACACAAATCCAATTGAATTTCCACCACCGAATCGTTACCACACGATCCGCTAATTCTGTTAACTCCACAGAAATCACTGGGTTGTAAAGGTCATAGCAATGAGAACTAGTCAGTCGTTTGTCTTGCCAGTATGAAAATTGTCCCAAATCTTGCATAGATACTGTCTGCATTATGACTGCTGTTTAACACGTTCGCTAAAATCATTCTACTTACTATGCCTGAAAAACGCTCAGTCGGCAAGTCCCCTCTCTCGCTAGGATCCAGACCCACCCAATCTCTGTTAGAGTGGGAGGGGAGGGGTTAGGGGAAGAGAGTGTTTTTAGGGGAAGGGAGTGGGGTTAGCGCAATCTAGCTTTGTTTAAGAGATAAGTAGTCAGGTAGATCAATCACACAGAAGTAATCCTTACACGCGTTTATTGAATCAATAACCTAGCGTACAAATCTCTAGGCAAAAATGCTAACTTAAAAAGCCTTAGGAGGCCTAGTTCAAGTGTGTTGGCCTATCCAATCATAACCATAAGGTTTGCTGCTACAATCCTTTGTTTGAATCACCCGCTTTTCAAAGACAAGGCGATAATTCTTGACTTTAGGGGTTAGACAGATTTTCTTGGTGGTCCTATTGGTGTCCATATTCACGCTTACATTTACTGCAATAGGCTGTGGTGCATTCCCAGGGTTTTTGATCGCAGCTAAAATGTGACTTTTCATGGAATCAAAATTCAACAGAGCCCTGCCCTGCTCATCCTGAGTAAAACCGCGTATTTTGCATTCTGTTTCACCATTTTGTAGCATGTAAGTGTAATTTTTTGGACCCCCTGTCGCAAACTCCTGTATGGGTACGCCAGCGGTTTCGTGTTTCATCTGACCCAAAAACGGACCCGTCTCCACTTCAGGTAAACCGTTATGCCAAAGATAAATGATGCTGTCTGTATCAAAATATAGAACTTGATCCTTCAACTGTTCCAAATACTTGTACAACTCTAAGCGGGCCCATGACGTGGTGAAACTCGCGATAAAAATGTTGGTTTTATTGCTTGGAATGACCCCTTCTACAGCTTTACTGACATCAATTTTTACTATATCATCAGTACATATTCGTATGTCGTGAATGTTGTTACCAGCATCTTCTATTATTGCATATAGCTCTGCAGGACTTGTGACGGTAAAGGTTTGAGTCTTGTTGGGTTTCTCGCCGAATTTGCCCCAGAAGCTGAAAATACAAAGAGGCAAACAAATCAAACAATGATTCTTTGAAGATCTTTGTCTTATCTTTACATTCTAATTCTAATTACCTGTTGAGCATAAGTTTGGCCACTTGTTTCCGTCCCCCATTTTTGGCCACTTTTGCAGGCTCTAGCTGAACCCCTTCACGCTCATAGTAAGCATTGATGTACTCTGACTTTGCTGCCTCTGTGGTACAATTCTTGGGCCAACCCGATGCTTCAGTTTTATTTTTGAGCCATTTATTTACATACTCTGCAAACAACCCCTCTTTGCGCTGATTTTCAGAAAAATGCCACACCTCGTGAATTTTTAGGACCTTGTAACCAAGGTCCAACGCTTTCTGCAACTCGGGTGTGCACCAAGTGCCCGTTATACAGCGTTCCTCCGCAGTGTGGGTGCAAACCGCTGTACGAGTCAGCCATTGTTTTTCCAATTCTTCCTTTACACATTGTGTACATAGAGGAAACATGAGTTTGCCACCAATGTGGACGGGGAGTACTGGATGATACAAATGGGGTGGTGGGAGAATCTTGACTTTTGCTATGCCAAAGTAACTGCCAATATCTTGATTTGTTGGATTGACCAAAATCTCGGCGTGACCCACTGGATACGTTTTTGTTTTGTTGACGTACGGGTAAAGCGAATTGATGTCTACATAGCCAATTTCTTCTCCTGCTGCTGCAACACAATGTAAACGCACTCCATTGGTTCTACCACCAAAGAAGCTATCTCTAGGGTTCAATGGCTCAGACAGCTGAAAGGTCTTCAAAAATTCCATGAGAGTGGGGTTTGTCTTCTTCTCAATCTCAAAATCATGCTCCCATTTCTCAATCACCGTATAGCCTGCTTGACGTAACTTGTGTCTTTTTACAGGTGGCTTCAAAGATTTCTGAGATGGTACGATCTGGATGACAATTGTGTTTCCTGTAGCGATGGTTTGGGAAACATTTAACACACCCATGATAAAAGCAACCATGAAATTCATAGACCGTTTTGGTAGTTTCATCATAGCCATCGACAAACAGAGCCTCGCCTTGTGTGATCATCTTTTGCTCTCCCCCGTTGCGGACATGGCGTAGTTTATTTCCTTCTAGTTTAAAATCTTCAAAACATAATTATTCTAGTGCTGCTGTACTTTGATTCACATTAGCACCACACCAGCCATTCAATGGTTCTATGGCAATGGTATCCTCGGGGATAAGATCTCTTCGCCAGAATAAATTGCATGCAGAAGCAATGGTGGCACATTTTTCTATAGGATTAAACCCTACTTCCTCTTTAAATTCTTTTATAAACTTTAGACAGGCAGCTTTCAATACCATTACATCAGAATGGCAGTACTTGTTTAACTCCTCCCAGAGAACATATTCTTCATTTCTTGCCAATTCAGTCGCGTACCAAGTGTCAAACTCCTTTCGTTTCTTTTGCTTCATTGCTTGTGGCTGAAAATAGTGTCTTGCCGGTAGACAACCCCTGTAAGTTAAACTCTCTCTTGTATGGAACGCATGCGGAAAGAAACCTTTATGAAGCTCGACGAAATTGAATGTTTCAGGCAACTCGGCCAGTGGCATTGGGAGAAAACAAAGTGAATCTTTGAAGGTAATGATGGCGTCCAGATACCAGTAATGAAACTTCAGGGTTTTGGCGCCCGTCGTCAGCTGGTTTTCCACCTTAATACCCTGGCGGTAAAGTTCCTCGATGATAAAGTTGCTATCAAAACCCTTGAGGTTGTGAAAAATTATAAATAAATCGCACTGTTTGTCTCCCACTTCTGTTAGTTGATTCATTGCGTCAATAAACTTTTGAATGCAGGTTTCGCCACTAAAGGCATGAGAAACATTGTGTGGATCTTCTTCAGTAGCATATCGAACCAAATCTGCTTTGAATAACTGCTTTCCCTGCTCTGTGGGTTCTATCAAACATTCGATGTCAGCAAACACCATGAGAGGTGGTAGCTTCTTTTCCTCGTCATCATCATCGTGTTCCTCATCATCTACCTCTTTAACACGTTGGATGTAACATTTGTGATTGTATATTTCAACAAATTCATGGCAGTAACGGCAAGTGTCATGGTAGCGTTTGTGTGGCTTCTTTGGATTGACTTTATAACCTTTACAGCATTTTAAACAATTTTTTAGCTTCTGACAAAGACTCACTGTTTTCTTGCCTTTTGTTTCTTTATGAGCCTTGAAACAGTCTGGACCATAGAAATCCCGCTGGCAGTCTTTACAGTGAATGGTTCTCTTTTTTCCTGGGGAAAAATCGGGGCAGCCACCATTATTTTTCTGAGAACGTGTGCGCTGACAACTACAGC